TGGGGCCAGCACTGAGGGGGTCAGGTTTTTGACTGAAAATGGCAATCTCAGGGAGAGAATGCTGAGGGGCCTAACCCAGTCCCCACCCCCACCCCCGGGGCCCAGCCACACTCCTGTCTGAGCAGGAACTATGAGGCTGGGCTGGGCTGACCCTGCCTGGATGGTCCGTGAGCCTCACAGATGAAGAATGGCTGCTGTGACTGGGCCTGGATGGAGTCCTTGTGGTGGGGCTGGCCGAGGCTTGAGCCAAGCTGACCTCTGACCTTAGGCCTGTGTTTCCCTCCTCCTGGATCTGTGTGCTGTGGCTGGACGCCAGGACCAAGTCCAAAATCCAGATGTGGCACTGGCTGAAGCCCTGGGGCCATGTGGTATGGTGGGACGGGAAGGTCAGCCCTCTGTGTGGGGCTGGCGGTGGCCAGGGGGCGTAAAGGGGAGGACTGTTAAGACAGTGAAGGATAGAAACATAGCATCACTAGGCAAGCTGTCGCCTATGGTACCAACCCCAACATCCCACTAAGAAAAACAGGCCCGCCCCAGTGGAGGCTAACCATGGCTGAGCCATTTCTAGGCTCTGGTGTGGGGTGGGTGGGGTGAGGGGGTAGGGTGGGTGGGGTGAGGGGGGTGTGGGTGTGTCTGTGGGTGGAGGGCTCATCGTCCCTCAGGGTTCTGGAGAGACAGCTGCATGTCTGTCTTCTCAGTTGTTTACCCATGAGCTCCTGATGTAGTGTAGGCTGGCCTGGAACCTGCCATCCTCCTGCCTCTGTCTCCTGAGTGCTGAGCTGTACAGGCCTGAGCCACCACAGCTGGCTAATGCATGCTGGGGCTAGAACCTGACCTTTGTGCGTGCTCCAGCAGGCACTCTACCAGCCGAGCCGCAGACACTCCACCAGCTAAGCCCAAGCCCCGCACAGCACAGATTTTTAACTTGAATGTTTTTACCATCAGGCACTATAATTTTTGGGAAAAAAAAAAAAAAAAAAAAAAAAAGCAGCGGAACTCACAAACTTGCCTCTCTTCGACTGCGCAGCCCTCTCTGGCTTCTGTTTGCTCGCTGCCATCTGGGCCCTGCGGTACTGTGACTGGCACAATCTTGATATTCCCTGCGATCTGATGGGTCTGCACGTGGCCATTTCAGCCTTTGGGAGCTGGACATGAGGGTGTGAGAGATGAGCTTCACCTGGACACTGTTGGCAGCTGTGACTGCATGAGGAGGGCGTGGCCACGGGCCTGGCACCTCCACTAACAGAACAGACCAAAGCTGTGCCCAGCAGACTCCTCCCTGAGCCTCATGGTTGCCTGGTGCCCAGCAGAGGTCAGGAGGGGAGTGGCTCCCAGCGGCAGCCTCCCTGTGGCCAGCATGTTCATCTTTCCACATGACAAGTGTGGAGAGAGAGCCAACCACGTGCAGGTGAAGGCCGCTAGCCCAGCCTGACATCTGCCAGGGGGACTAGCTGAGACAACTGGGTCCCCAAAGGCCACATGACAGGAAACCACTCAAGTGAGCTTCCCTGCTTTCCCCACAGCCCTGTTCTGAACCCAGCACCTTCCCTGCCCCGTGCATCCCCACCCACTCCTCCACCAGTCACCCAAGCTCACCCCGCTCCTCTGCAGCGTGCTCTTCCTTTCTCTACACCCTCCCTCATCCTCACGTCACTGTGACGCTGGTGATGCGCAAACCTCTGTGCTCTCGGCGCCATTCAGGCAGAGAGGGCCAGGACTTTCCTAGGACGAAGCAGAGGCCCCCTGATGACAGCGGCAGTGAGAAGGAGCCATTTGTAGGTGACTGTGCCCTGTAGTCACAGCCAGATAATTCCACTCACCTGCCTCAGACCCCTGAGGCCTGCCACAGTGCCTTTGCATGTGCGGTGCCCTGGCTTGGGCTTCCCAGGGACAGGTACCTGGTCCTCGGGGGGGGGGGGGGCTTTCTTGGCCCTGCAGTGCCCTTGGGCCACAACCTCTTCATACCCACACCCCGTGCCCCTCGAATGCATGCCCCGAGCCCCCAAACCATGGCCTCCGAAGGCTGACATCCATCTGGCACCTTGCTGCTGAGCCCTGTGGCCGCTTCTCCTCCCCAGGCCTGGGCCACTGCCAGGCGGGTAAACACCACTCTCTGCTCCATTCATCACTTGGTGAACAAGGGCCCCACTGTGGAGGCACTGAAGCAGGCTGTGAGATACAGCAGGGCGCTGAGGCCCTGGGGCTCCCTCTCCTGACTCCTCACCCTCTGTCCCCAGCCAACAGCAAAAACCCGGGGTGGACTTTCTCCTGTGGCCCATGTCTTTAGCATGAGGCAGGGAAGCTTCTGAGATCAGTAGCCGCAGGGAGGAGGCAACGAGTGAGTCCATCTTTGAGACAGGGTCTCATGGAGCTGGCTGGCCTCAACTCCTGACCCTCCCTTCTTCCTTGCCAAGGACTATTGTGACAGTCAGACTGTGCCCCACTGCTGCGGCTTTTGAACAAAGCTTTCCCATGTAGCCCAGGGGACCTGGGATGTGCCGTCCTCCTGCCTCTACCTCCTCAGTGCTAAGACGCTCTAGCATGCCTGGCTTCTGAGCTAGATGGAGTCCAGGGCTTTGTGCAGGCTAAGAAAAAGCTCTACCCGCTGAGCCACAAGCACTGTACCCAGGACAGCCAGGGCCACACAGAGAAACCCTGTCTCAAAAAAAAAAAAAAAAATCAAGGTGAGCCACATTCCCAGCCACTAGAATTGTATTTTAATTTCCTTTTTAATGTTTTAGATAATGCTTCTGCAACCTAGGCTGGTCTCAAAACTCTTTATACATCCGAGGATGGTCTTGAACTCCTTGCACTTCCTGGAGGCTGGAGTAACAATTGAGCCACCATGCCCAGTATCTTAGTCCTCCTGCCTCAGTGTCCCTGCACTCAGGGGTGGAGGTGGACATAGACACGAGCCACCATTTTGGGCCGTACAAATTCTTTTCTAATATTTTCTGTGAAGTTTGTGTAAGCGTGAAACACAGAGAACTGCCTGTATGAAAAGGTTTGATTCTCACATTAACACTAAAAAGTGGGACTGTGTTTTGTATTGAGTGTGCGCCTGTGTGCTTGTGTGCATTCATGCCTGTGTGTGAGCATGTGCACCTGTATGTGTGTGTGAGTGTCTGTGTATACCTGTGTGTCGGTGTGCTTCTATGTGCATGTGAGCCTGTGCACCTGTCCCTGTGTGTGTGTTTATGTGTGTGTGTGTGTTTGTGAGCCTGCACGCCTGTGCCTGTGTGTGTGTGTATATGTGTGTGTGTATGTTTGTGAGCCTGCACGCCTGTGCCTGTGTGAGTGTGCACATAATGTGTGTGTTTCAGGAGAGAAGGGACAAAGGGCTTTGCAGGGCTGCATGGATGGCTCAGTGGGTAAAGCGCTTCCCATTGTAGCATGAGGAAAAAGCTCAGGGATTCCTGGGGCTCACAGTGGGAGACAAGAGCTCAAAGATCAAAGTTAGGGGGCGGGCGTGATGGTGCGCACCTGTGATCCCAGCACTGGGGAGGCAGAGGCAGGCGGATCTCTGAGTTCGAGGCCAGCCTGGTCTACAGAGTGAATCCAGGACAGCCAGGGCTACACAGAGAAAACCTGTCTCAAAAAAATCAAAATCAAGGTGAAGGCTAGTGTAACAATTGTAGTAAAACATGCCTTTTAGATGTGTAGAAATAGCTCTACACCCAAGACTGCACCCGATAACCGGAACCCAGGGACACTGCTCACGAGAACCAGTGAGAACCAGATAGTCCCAGAACCCGTGATGCCCACTGCACAGCATATGAGCAATGCTCTGCTCTGCACATCTGGAGAAATGGCTCTCTGGTCTGCCCTGCGGCCGGAGAGTCCCCCCAGGATCCTGACCCTCAAACCAGAGACTCCTGTCAGAGAGTGGACCTGACCTTCAGCCGAGATCCATCGTCCTGGTGAGCAGCCCCAGGGAGACAAGTGGAGGAATTTAGAGTGTGAACCTCATGTGATAAAACATTTTGTTACACTAACTGCAGGTGTTTACCTTCCCACTTGGGATAGCCCCAAAGGGGCCTCGGAAGGTAAAGGTGCTCGCTGATAAGCCTGAGACCTGAGCTCCATTCCACCAGCTGGCCTCCACTCACACAAAAGAATATAATGAAAAAACTTAAAGACTCTAAATGTAATCTATCTCTATATACACCTATATCTGTATTTCTGACTGATGGTGCCTGAGCCTTTTGGCAAACTTCTGGATGTTTGGCAATTGCTCAATAAAATGGTAGCCAGTATAGTTAGCGCTGTGCTGTCTTTAACCCAAGGGGGGTCTGAGGTAAAGAGATCTATGCTGAGGGAGGTGGACAAGGAGGTGGGGCCTGCTGAAGGCTTAGGCAGTCACAGGCCTCAGAACCCGCTTCCTGACCCTGGATTTGGTCTTTATTTATGGAGGTTACGTCTGGCCTGGGATGTGGAAAGGGCCAAATGACCCTCCCCATGTTGCCCTGATGGATTCCCCAGACCCAGCCAGAGGCCCAGCAGGCCAGTGCCCAGCATATTTCCCCCTTGGGCGGAGGCAGGCAGCCGGGGCGCCACAAGTCTCCTGGCCCAGCAGGCGTCAATCAGAAAAGGCCCCTGGGGCTCCCTCAGCAGCCCTGCCTGGACCAGCTCCTGGAACCACTCTGCCTGGATGTCGGGAAGGAAGACTGGCCAGGACTCATGAGTTCCAGAATATCACAGCTATTGCCTGGCTGGAGCCAGAGCTAAGTCTGCGTTCATGTGTGACGGGCTATGTGTGGGTGGGGATGTGTGTGGGGGTGTCTAGCTCCCCAGCTCTGGGTGTGGGGCATGAGGCTGGCTCATCTCTCCTTAGAGGAAAACATGGATATAACTGGGGCTGAGTGCCATCCTAGCATTTAGGAAGCAGACGTGGAAGGATCACAAGTTCAAGGTCATCCTTGGACACACAATAAGTTGGTGGCTAGCCTGAGCTCCAGGAGACCCTGTCACAAGAATACAAAACCAACCAAACTAATAAATTACTCAAAGCAAAATCCATTTGAAGCATTGTCTGTGTAAATTCCAGGTTCAGGCAGATACTGGAGCCAGCCCGCTCAGGACTCTCCCAGGCTGCTGAGCTCACACAGTCACAGGAAGAGCCATGGTCAGCCCGAGCCGGAGGCCTGAGAGAGTTGCTGTCTGCTGCAGGTGGAAGGGCAGAGGAGGGCACAGGCCTGCAGGTACCAGGGCCCAGGAAGACACCGGCAGAGAAACTGGAGTGCTTGGGGTTAGGCAAGCAGCTGCCTGCGAGGCGGTCCCGGCCCCAGTGGAAGCCAGCAGGCAGGGATGAGCACATGGTCCTGGGCCCCAGCCCCGTGCCTGGCTCGTGGCAGACACCCGTTAGGCAGCCATGTGCTCCTACCTCAGCACAGGTCCACCCAGCAGTGGTGGTTTTCTGGAGAATTCCAACGCTGGTCAGCAACATCAGTCCCAGGTATGCCTGGAGCCAAAGAAAACAGGAGGCAGCTGCCCGGGGAGGGGGGGGGGGCGGCGAGGCTCCCTGTCCAGGCCCGCTCCAGCCTTCCTTTGGAGGGCTTCTCCCTCTCTCACCCTCTATGAGTCCCTGCCGCCTCAAGACATTGGCACTGCCCTCTGCTAGCTGCACATCGTGATTCTCCTTAAGCCCACGATCTTGACCCTCCGGGACCCGTCTGTCTAGCAGCCCCGGCTCTTTCTGCTGAGGACTTCTGCTGACATCCCTGATGACCCGGGGGTGATGGTGGAGCCACTTCCACACCGCCTCATTTGCCTCTGACACAGCTGGGCATGGTACCTTCCTGTGTCCCCCAGCAGCTACCTAGCAGGGAAAGTGGATGTGACCCAGGACAGGCACATTTGTGCGCCACGTGGAGGTCTAGAAATCTACACACACCCTTCAACCAACGGCCCCTCACTGACCTCACTGCCCCTCCCACTGATCTCCTGGACTGTCTGTCTCCTCCAGTCAGCCTTCCATGATTTCTTCTTGGAACAACAGCTCTTTCTTGGTAGTCTGGCTTGGCTTGCAGTGGCCCCAGGCGGACCAGGGCTAGAGCCCCAGTTTCTGTCTGCAGACTGTGAGTCCTGGGAGCCAGGTGGAGAGGGTTAAAGCTCCTGGAAGTTGAGGTGTTTTACAGCTCAGAGTGTGGCTGGCCCAGGAAAAGAGCTTTTCCAGTTCCCAGCGTTTTTATTTTTATGACAGTGCCTGCAGAGCAAAGCTGGGAGCAGCCCATCCCATCCCATCCCACCCAGCACTCCCACTGTTTCCTTGACGGTATAAAAGGGGAAACTGAGGCAGGGACAACCTTTACGGGAGATTCTGTTTGTCTGAAAGCGGGGTGGGGGCTGGAATCCAGGGCTGACACCCTGATAACCTGCGGACCTGGGCTGAATTCAGTCCCCTTCGCAGGGTTCTGAAGCGAAGACAAAGTGTGCAAGCGAGAGTGGGTGAGTTCGGACCTTACAATCACTTGTAACTTTGTTTCCCCAAATGTTACCCGAGGGGTGCAGATGGACTGCTTTGCATACAGCAGGCACTTAATGGTGGACGAGAGTACTTGACTCCCCAAGACTCATCCCTCTTTCCTCAGACCCCACCATGTCCCAGGCAGCAGCTGCTCATCCCGCGGCGCCGTGGGGTGCGGCCCTGAATGCAGAGTCCGGCTTGTTTACCTTGCGGCGGGCTCTGGGCAGGGCCGCGGGGGCTGTCCCGGCCGGGCACGGGGATAAATACGCCTCGGGCTCAAGGGCGCAGACTGCCACTGCAGCTCCGCCGCCATGGACCCCACCGCCTGCGTTCTAGTGCTCGCCCTGGCTGCCATGCAGGCGGCCGGCCAGGGCCAGATCCCGCTGGGTAAAGCAGCTTGGCGGGGTGGGGGATATAGGTGACAGGAGGTCCCTGTAGGCTCGCAATTCCTGCTCCTCAGAGCTTGGGGTCCGCTCTCCAGGGACATTCGGGCTGAGAAGTGAGGCGGCAGGCGGAGCCTGGAGGGCCCGGAGTGGCGGGGAGGGGTGATGGAATGGTTGGGCTACCGGTCAGTGGCCCCTCTGGACGCAGGTGGAGACCTGGCCCCGCAGATGCTGCGAGAACTTCAGGAGACCAATGCGGCTCTGCAGGACGTGAGGGAGCTGTTGCGACAGCAGGTAAGGGAACAGAGAAGAACAGAAAGGGAGACGGCGCGGGAACAGAACTGGGGTAGGGGGACAGCGCAGTGATGAGCGGAACGCAGAGAGGGGAAAGGGAGACAAGCGTGAGAACAAGGCGGGGAAGAGAGCCTAGGATAGAGTGGAAACCGGGCGCTGGACAGAGCGGATGGAACAGAGCTGGGGACAGGGCGCGGGGACCGGGGGGACGGGGTCGGAGCCAGGGAGCCAGGGGCTCCGAAAGGGGCTTGTGCAAAGGAAAATGTAAGGGAGTGGTGGGGGGCAGCGGGTTTTCCAGGGAGGGGTCTCGGGAGGAGGAGGGGAACCGAGAGAAGGCGCGTGGGGAGGCGTCCCGCTGACCTCCCGCCCTGCAGGTTAAGGAGATCACGTTCCTGAAGAATACGGTGATGGAGTGTGACGCCTGCGGTGAGCAGGGCTGGGCCCCGAGGCCGGAGGAGGGGACACAGATCGAAACGGAGGAGGAAAGGGGGCTGGGGAAGGTGGCTGGGGAGAGAGAATGGACGACGACGGAGCGGACTGGACGCCGGAGAGAAGGCCGGCGAGACGCTACAAAACCTGGGACCTGGGACAGCGCGGAGCCAGAAGACCGCGCCACTTCAGGACGCACGCGCGAGCATGCCCCGCCCTAGCGTGGGCTAAGACGGAGCCTTCCGAGGGGCGTGGTCCTGAGCGACTCCACCCAGGGCGGGTCCAGCACATCTTGTGGGCGCGGCCGAACAGGCTCCTCCCCTAGGCGTGTCCCAAAATGGCCCCTCCCCCAAACGTGACCTAACTCCTCCGCCTCCGCAGGGATGCAGCCCGCACGCACGCCGGGCCTAAGCGTCCGTCCAGTGCAGCTCTGCGCACCCGGCTCCTGCTTCCCCGGCGTGGTCTGCACGGAGACAGCGACCGGCGCGCGCTGCGGGCCCTGCCCTCCCGGCTACACCGGCAACGGCTCGCACTGCACCGACGTTAATGAGGTGCGCGGGCTCCCCACACCCCCGCCGTCCTGTCGTTCCCCGGGCCGACCCCACCACAGACTCCCGCCACCCCAACGACCCCCTCACTCACCGAGGGTGCCCTCCCGGACCGGGCCCACTCAGCCTGGGTCGCCAATCCGGAAGACCTCACTTCGGCGGCTGGAGCCCCACCTAGGACAGTTCCAGCATTGTCCCGGACGCACACCCTGACCACGCCGCCTGCCCCCGCTGACACCGGCAGGGGCTCTCCCCAGCCATCCTCACCGCTGGGCCTTGCTCGCCCCGGCCACTCTTCTTTGGAGAGTCGCCCTCAACCCGGCGATCGCCGCCGTGCCTGCGCGCCCCGGCGGCCCCTTCCTCCCTCGGCTGGGGATGCCCGCCCCGCACGTTCATTCCCGCACCCCTAAGGGGTCACAACCCATGTCCATGAAGGCAAAGTCGCCTGCGACCCTCGGGATCTCCATCCCGTGTGGCACGCTACTCCAAGAGCTGGCTGATGGCCCCTAAGTGCCCCGGAAGGCAGAGGCAGGCAGAGCTCTAGGCGTTTGAGACCAGCCTGGTAGACACGGTGTGTTCCAGAGCAGCTAGGGCTATGCAGTGAGACCCTGTCTCCAACAAAACAAAGCCCTCTCTCCAATCGCCTTCAGCCTGGGGCCCCCAATCCTGTGTGCTCCTCTCTCACAGTGCAACGCTCATCCGTGCTTTCCGCGCGTGCGCTGCGTCAATACCAGCCCCGGCTTCCGCTGCGAGGCCTGTCCTCCTGGCTACAGCGGCCCCACCCACGAAGGCGTGGGGTTGGCCTTCGCCAAGACCAACAAACAGGTGAGCGGCGTGCGGCAGAAGGGGATGGACGGCATTTTGTCCAAAACTCGGCCACGTCCTCGTTCCTGCAGTCGGGTGGAGAGGCTGGGTGAAGGAGGCGTGGCCCGGGTGAACCGTGAGTTGTCTGGCCGTGGTCCCCTAGGTTTGCACAGATATTAACGAGTGTGAGACCGGGCAGCACAGCTGCGTCCCCAACTCCGTGTGCGTCAACACGCGGGTAAGGAAGGCAGGGGTGGCAGCGTGGCGCCAGCGAGCCGCGGGGGCGTGACCCTAACGGACCGCGCCTGCGCACAGGGCTCCTTCCAGTGTGGCCCCTGCCAGCCCGGCTTCGTGGGCGACCAGACGTCAGGCTGCCAGCGGCGTGGGCAGCGCTTCTGCCCCGACGGGTCACCCAGCCCGTGCCACGAGAAAGCGGACTGCGTTCTGGAGCGGGACGGCTCGAGGTCGTGCGTGGTGGGTGCAGGCGCACGGGTCGTGGAAGAGGGGTCCCGGGGCTCTGGCGTGCGTGGACATTTCCACTGACTCCCCTGTGCAGTGTGCCGTCGGCTGGGCCGGCAACGGGCTCCTCTGCGGCCGTGACACGGACCTGGACGGTTTCCCGGACGAGAAACTTCGCTGCTCAGAGCGCCAGTGCCGCAAGGTGGGCGTGTCCCGGAGGGCGTGCCCTGGAGGGCGTGGCGACCCAAATAGACACGCCCCCTCACCTTGCCTACCCCCTCCCCAGGACAACTGCGTGACGGTGCCCAACTCGGGGCAGGAGGATGTGGACCGAGATGGTATCGGAGACGCTTGTGACCCGGATGCGGACGGAGATGGAGTCCCCAACGAGGAGGTAAGGCTGTGGGAGGGCTGTGGGCGGGGACTGGTTGTTTAACTCCAGTGAAGGGGCGGGGTCTCCTTGGAGATGGGCAAATCAGGAAAGTGATTTCCATTTATTTGTGTGTGTTCGCGTGTGTGCGTGTGAGCGAGAGTGACATGGCGTGTGGAGCTCAAAAGACCACTTGCAGGAGCCGGGTCTCTCCTTACCTCACAGAGGCCCTGGGAAGACTAAACTAAGCCTTTCCCCATCCCTCTGCCAGGCTACTGCGACATGATCACTGTCTCTCCATGCTGACCCTGGCTTCACTTGTCCCGCCTTCTAGGACAACTGCCCGCTGGTTCGAAACCCAGACCAGCGCAACTCGGACGGCGACAAGTGGGGAGATGCCTGCGATAACTGCCGGGCTCAGAAGAATGATGACCAGAAAGACACAGACCGGGACGGCCGGGGCGACGCCTGTGACGACGACATTGACGGCGACCGTGAGCAGGGCTGAGGAGCGAAGGGTGGGACCCGTCTCCCAGGCCTGGCACGCCCTGCTGGGGCTAAAGCCAGGCCAAGGGAAGCAGGAAGCCAGGCCTGGGGGAGAAGAGGGCCGAGGCCTGAGGGATGGAGGGTGGCCCCTGTTCAGGGTTCTCGCATAGCCAGTTCCGCACCCTGGGCTGGCTCCAGCAGGATGCGCGCAGGGGATGGCCTTGAATTTCTGCTTTTCCTGCCATCACCTGCTGGGCCCTGGGATGACAGGGCTCATACACATCCTGCACAAACACATTCTGCTTGGCCATACTTTTTTAAGTTTTACGTTATTGTTCCTGTTGTTGATTTGAGATAAGGTCTCTGTAGCCCTGGCTGTCTTGGAACTCACTATATGGACCAAGCTGGCCTTGAACTCACAGAGATCCTTTTGTCTCTGCCTTCTGAGTGCCACCCACTCACACCCGGCTTTAATTTTTTTTAAACTTGTTTTTATCTATTTACTTATTTTGTTTAGCCAAGACAGGGTCTGTGTAGCTCAGGCTGTCCTAGAACTCACTATTTAGACTAGGCTGGTCTTGGACTCCCAGTGGTCTGCCTGCCTCTGCCTTTAGGGCGCCAACACACCCAGCATGATTTTATATTTTAATTTTTCTATTTTGTATACACTCTTGTGTGCATGTGTGTGCATGAGAGTCATGACACATGTGGGGTCAGAGGGTAACCTGCATTGCAGGAATGGGTTCTTTTGCCATATATGTTCCAAAGATCAAACTCTGTCCGGCCCCTTGGCCATCCAGTCTTTAAGACCCTACGGAACTGTGGCTCTGTCCCAGGCCTGTGATGACGCGGAACTGGCCTGGCCCTATTCTTAGGATCCTGCCTTAGTTCCCTGATTTGTCTCAGGAATAGGAAATGTAGCTGACAACTGTCCCCGGGTGCCCAACTCTGACCAGAGCGACAGTGATGGTGATGGCGTTGGGGATGCCTGTGACAATTGTCCCCAGAAAGACAACCCGGACCAGGTGGGCTACTTCCTGTGTGAGCCTTAGTTTGGGAGCCACCATGGACCCTGCCAAGGGCAGTCTGCAGGAGGGAGCCTTTGGGGTGGGCAGGGCCTGGCTGTGGAGTTGGGGGTGGGGACGGCTTCTGACTGTGACCCTTCACCCCATTCCAGAGGGATGTGGACCACGACTTTGTGGGTGACGCCTGTGATAGCGACCAAGACCAGTAAGGAGCCCTTGGGAAGGTGGCCGCTGAGTGGTGCCTCCCTTCCAGGTCTCATGGTACTGCCCCTGCACTCTAGGGACGGGGATGGACACCAGGACTCTCGAGACAACTGCCCCACAGTGCCCAACAGTGCCCAGCAGGACTCAGACCACGATGGCGAGGGCGATGCCTGTGATGACGACGATGACAATGACGGAGTACCTGACGACCGGGACAACTGCCGCTTGGTGCCCAACCCGGGCCAGGAGGACAATGATCGTAAGGGTGGTGCGGTGCCTGGCCAGCAGCTGGTGTGTGGGGGGGAGGTGCCTGGTGTGGGCATGGCCAAAAGCTAGCATAAACTATTGGGAGGGGTCTGATTTCAGCCCACACTGGCCGCTTCTGTCCCATCTTCTTTTAGGGGATGGCGTGGGTGATGCGTGTCAGGGCGACTTTGATGCTGACAAGGTCATAGACAAGATCGATGTGTGCCCGGAGAATGCCGAGGTCACCCTCACCGACTTCAGGGCTTTCCAGACGGTTGTGCTGGACCCTGAGGGTGATGCGCAGATCGATCCCAACTGGGTGGTGCTCAATCAGGTGCGGCCAGGGCCAGGGTGGCGTTTAGGGGAGCCCAGTGTGCCCCCTCAGCAACAAGTCCACCACTCAGTGCCTGCCTGAGGCCCCTGTTCTTCCAATCTCACCAGGGAATGGAGATCGTGCAGACCATGAACAGCGACCCTGGGCTGGCTGTGGGTGAGGCGAGGCGGGTCGAGGCGAGGGTGGGCAGGGCGAGGGTGGGGCTATGGGGCGTGCCCATGGAGGACGTGAACCTGTACCCCTAGTCCCAGGAAGGGTGGGATTGGAGGGAGATAGAGAGATGAGGACAAATGGTAGGTTGTTGGAGTGGTCATGGGTGGGTGTGGCCATGGAGGGACAGGAGTTGGTCGGTCTGGACCTGGGAAGAGTTGAGCTGTGGCTGTGAGTGGGGCCTGGGGCGTGGCCTTGTGAGGGAGTGGACATGGGAGGCGTGATCCCCGAGAGCCAGTGGACGCTAGTGGGGTATGTTGGCGGTGGCCTTGTTTGGGGAGGTTTGGGAGCTGTCTCTTGGAGGGGCGGGGCCTGGCTTTCCAGAGCAAGCTGGCTTCCAGAGGGTCCACTGTCTCCCCTTCTGCAGGTTACACGGCCTTCAATGGCGTGGACTTCGAGGGCACGTTCCACGTGAACACAGCCACCGATGATGACTATGCCGGTTTCATCTTCGGCTACCAGGACAGCTCAAGCTTCTATGTGGTCATGTGGAAGCAGATGGAGCAGACGTACTGGCAGGCCAACCCCTTCCGGGCGGTGGCTGAGCCAGGGATCCAACTCAAGGTGCTGGCTGGCCTGCGCCCTCCTGGTCCCTCCACGCTCCACCCTCCCACCTGCGCCCCAAAGCTTTCATAGCCCTCCAGCCCTGTCCCACAGTCCTCGAAGCTGTCGCTACCTCATTTCCCCCAGTCCCAGCCCCCACCCTCCCATCTTACCTACAGTCACTGCCACCGGTGCCAATCCTCCCACAAGCCCGTAAGCACCCGCCCAGGAGGGCCGGGGAGACGCCTCCTTCGTTAAGACAAATGCTTCACCAAGCATGGGGACTGGAGTCATTCCAGCCTTGAAAGGTAGAGACGGTCCCCAGAGCAAGATGGCTAGTGAGACTAGCCACACTGGGGAGCCCAGGTTGGTGGAGAGACCCTGCCTCATAGAACAGGGCAGAAAAACTATGAGGACCGCTCTGACGATCTCCACCCGTCAGCAGCACCTGCACACCGCCACACGCAGACACAAGCCTTCTCTGCCGCCCCCACCTGCTCCACTAGATCCAGTTCTAATCCCTTCCCTCCCTTGGCCTGCGTCAGGCTGTCAAGTCTTCCACGGGGCCCGGGGAGCAGCTCCGAAATGCACTGTGGCACACGGGGGACACGGCGTCTCAGGTGCGGCTGCTGTGGAAGGACCCTCGCAACGTGGGCTGGAAGGACAAGACCTCCTACCGCTGGTTCCTGCAGCACCGGCCCCAGGTCGGCTACATCAGGTACGGCCTACCCTGCTGCTGGGCTGTGCAGGGATGCACTGCCTTGCTGCTTCCAGGAGCCTCTGGGCAGCCGGGCTTGGAGCTGCCAGGCCCCAGCACCTCCTGTGTACAGGGCACCCGGCATAGGTCCTCACAGAGGGGAACGGAACGGAAGCAGGCGCCCCTTCCCCTGCTGTGACACCAGAGATGAAGGGGGCCGAGCATGGTCCACCTCACTGGTCCCACTCACAGGGTGCGGTTCTATGAGGGTCCTGAGTTAGTAGCTGACAGCAACGTGGTGTTGGACACGGCCATGCGTGGTGGCCGCCTGGGCGTCTTCTGCTTCTCCCAAGAGAACATCATCTGGGCTAACCTTCGCTACCGCTGCAATGGTGAGCTGGGGGCCAGTGGGCAGGACCCAGGCAGCTCCAGAAGGCTTTCTCACCTGCTGTGTTCCCACCTGCAGATACAATCCCTGAGGACTATGAAAGTCGCCGGCTGCGGAGGGCCCAGGGCCCTTGAGTGGGGCCCTGCAGCCTGATGGACCGTGGTGGCCCAAGCTGCAGGTGTCGGGGGTCTGGCCCGGGGAGGAAAGGATAATAAAGTATGTATGTGGGGAACTGGCTGGCTCCAGTCTCTGTCTGTGCTCTGATCATTGAGAGGGTCAAGCGCATTCAACTCACTGCAGAAGCTGACACCCCTAGAATATTCCAAGGTATGCTCAGATGGGCGCCCCAAGTTTGAGGAACCCCACAGTCACTGTGCAAGGGGCACAGCCTTAGGAGTACGAGGCTGGGGGTGGGGAGGAAAAAGAGGAAGAGGCCAGACGAAAACATTGGGTTTTTATTACATTTCATTACAAAGGGCGCAAAAATACAAAGAAGCGTCTGCGCCAGAAGGTGGGGCGGGCGGCCGTGCGTGCCCTGAGCAACCTGACCCCCAGCTGTGGTGCCCATGCGCACGGTCCACAGACATCCGCAGCAGCGGAGTGCGCATGCTGGGGGCAGAGCCAGCCTGGGCACGGGGAGGGGAATGTAGGACCAGCCATTTGCATATATCAGAGGGGCTGCCCAGCCCATGTCCTTCTTTTTCCTACTAAGGAGTGAGATGGGGTCTGGGGCCTGAGGACCAAAGGTGGTCTCTGGATTTAAGGCCACAGCCCTGACTTCACGTACCCCTGTGATCAGAACTGTTTGGCCAGCTGGACTGGATTAGGCTGGGCCACAGTCACCCTGAAAATCTAGAGCCCCAAAAGATGGGGCAACATTTTACCCCCTGTGATGGATCCCGGGCCCCAGGGAAAGGCCAAGAGCAGAAGGTGGAGCTGGCACAGTCAGAGGGCCCTGCCACTGTCCCCACCCTGCCCAGGAGATTGGGCACCTGAGCCCAGCAGGGCTGGGAAAGAGGGAAACTGAGGTTCAGGGCACTCCATGGCCTTAGGAGTACCCCAGCACCCAGGCTCAAGAGGGTACAGGTCCCTCCATCTTCCACCCCAATGGGGAGAGGTGGCTATGACCAATGGGTGGTGGGCATTTGTGCCACACTGAGGGCCATGCCTGAGACAGGAATGATGTGGTCTCCAAGACACCCAGCAGGTCCCTGAAGGAAGTGGGGACCCCAGGAACCAAGAAGAAAGGGGTTTTAAAGGGACCAGGTACCACCACACTAGACGCAGATCTTGGGGTCTGTGAGCACACAGGGCACACTCTGCACCATGGTGCCCTGACCTGGATACCTCCTGAGGGACAACAGCCATGCCGAGGGCACGACTGTACCACTGACCTGACCTCAGCCCGTGCACACAGCTCCTGTAGCCCTTAGCATGTGGCTGTACCGGGCATAGACTCTTCTTTGGGAAACCCAGAAAACTCAGAGTGCAGTGAACCAACTCTAGGCCCCCTGTGACAAGACCACTGGCCAGCACTGGTGTGGTGTCACCGCCCCACACCTTTTACCTGTTCTTGTCCCGAGTGCCAGGCCTGCAACTCTTGACACCAGGCCCAGTGCGGCAGCTGAACACCTTTACATATGTGCCATGCAGTAGCGTGTGGGTTCCGCTAGGGGGACCCCCTGTCTAAGAGTCTTCCAAAGCCCTGCCAGTTACAGACTACCCAAGGAACTTCAGCACAAAACAGCCACTGGGCAGTGTCGCAGAAAAGGGATACGACAGGGCCTGTGGGTGGGTGGAGAAATGCCATTTCTTAGGACACAGAAAGGGGCTGGGTCCAGCTGCGTTGTCAGTCTGGGGTCCTTTGGGCGGATAACCACCAACACAGAGGCTTTAAAGGATAAGGTAAACTGAGGCAGCTGGGCATAGTGTTATCAAGAAGCTGCAGTCTTTTTTTCTGAGCTGGGGAAATGGGTTGGACAGCCAAGTGGCTGAGGGGTTTGGCTGAAGCTCGTGAGTCACTGGTGAGGTGGAGGGAGAAAGGCCAGGCCTGGCTCACGCATTCGACATCTCGGGGGCTGGGCGTCTAAGCCTGTCCTGAGAGCATGATGTGGGCGGAGGGTCTATGTACATGCTGCAGGGAACCCAGGCTGGCTGCTCAATGGGTCACCAGCTGAGGGACCCACTGCTTTGAGCTGTCATCTTGGGATGTCTTGGCAATACAAGGGTATTACTGGAGAGGTGAGTGACATCTAGAAAACAAAGGCAGCCCCCGGAGTCCCCATAGCACAGCCTCCAGGCCCAGGGGAGGGTAAGCCCTTCCAGGACATGCAGACCCCTAGCCCCTGGATGGGCTACAGGGCTACCAGCGAGGTGCTCACTCCTGCCTGGGATGCTGAGGCAGGGCCCAGCACCTCATCACAGAACTTGGCAATGAACTGAGTCACGTTAACACAGCTACATGCACTCTTGGCTGTAGGGCATTGAAAGACAGGCTACCAGCTTTGGAGGGTCATGGGACTATGGCCGTCCTGCCCTGGCTCACTGAGAACTTGGAAGGCCAGTGACTGGTTACTAGGAGGCGGGACTCTCTGCCTTGTTAAGACTGTTTGCTCAGGATTCTACAACTTGGAGAAAACCAGACTCCAAGCATGTGGACTTCCTGTTTTGATTTTTTGAGATGGTCTCACGTAGCCCAAGTTGGCCTTGATCTCCTAATCCTCCTATCTCCAGATCTCCAGTGCTGGCGTCACAGAGGTGCACCACCATGCATATTTAATAATAATAATAATAATATTATAATAACGTCCCCACTATTCCTTTCAAGCCTGCGCCACGGTGATAGAAAGGCCTGAGACCTGGATAGGGAACTAGACAGAGCAACGCTGTATCCCCAAGTCCAGGGGGCAGGCGATGGAGGGGCAGCTTTCTCATGCAGCAGTTACCTAGTGGCTTAGGGAGACACACACAGCGCCCCAGCCCCCGGCATGGGCAGTGGGCAACATCACAGAGAAACAACCAAGCAGAAGGTGACGGCCTGGTGGGCAGAGGTGCAGGGCACATCAAGCTATCACTAGGGGTGATGGGGGAATAGAGCTTCCAGGCCACAGGTGAGCCAGGAAAGACAAGCTGGGCCCACGGCCCCACACATCACAGGTTGTCTTAGCACAGACACCAGCAGCCTCCATCCACCTGCTGAAGCCTGGCAGGCACCCTGGGGATCCTCAGAGGGAGTGGGTTCTCCGGAGAGTCGAAGCCTGTTTCTAGACACCTGTTCTGTGGCTCTTACAGACACATCCAGCCCCTCCCTGCCCACGTAGCTCTTTGGAGTTGAGACTATAGCAGGTGAGGCCAGGCCCATGTGAGCAGCCTAGGTGCCCCAGTGCAAGTGCTCCAGGCTGCTGTTTCAGTTAGCTTAAAAATAAAAACAAAAGGTCAAGGAGGGACAGGGGGTTAGCACATGCTGCCAGGAGAGGGTCTGGAAGGTCAGCCACCATGCCAATACAAACTGAGGGCAAAGCAAACCCTCCAGGGCTGCTGCCTCCCGAGTCCCACACCCTAAACAGTAGGAGGGACCGATCATGGGGCTGAGGTGGGAGGACGAAAATGGGCAGGTGGCCTGTGACTCTCCACTAACCCTGTGCCATCATGCTGAGCACTGCCTGGCAGTGGGCAAATGGTGGTCGAGAAAGGGTGGAGGAGGGGCACTGGCAGCTTCAGTGGGCCCCGTCCACGCACATTCGGCCATAGGGCGGCTGCCGCGCTCTCAGGCGCTCAGGAATAGGAAATGCAGCCATCCAGATAGTGTTTATTCTGCTCCAGTCTACCCTCACTCTTCTGGCTTTGCCCTGGGCCCGGTGGGCATGCGTGGCCTGACCAGGGCTGGGGATGGCTGTGGAAGGGGCGGGATGAAGGAAGGCAGTGGCAGCTGAGAACAGTCGGATGGATGGCCCGCCTTGGTCTCTGGGCTCCCACGGCCACGCCCAGCCCACCCTCGGGCAGCACATCTGGGGATGAGTGATACTTTGGGTATCTTGGAAGTGGACCACTGATGAGGGCTCTCACAGCCCCAGGGAGGGGCGAGGGAGTGAGCGTGAGGACGGGGCCATGGGGCCAGGCACTCACAGCCTCTGCAATCAGCCTGGCCCCAGGTGGACGGACGGACAGATAGCCAGCCTGGTACACAACGGCCTCACACCAGGCATCATGGGAGGTGAACAACCAGGGTGGCGGCTGGCAGGGGGCGCTGGGCAGCATTGCAAGCTCAGAACCACAAGCTTGGCCGTTGGCAAAGGAGGACGGAGCACTGCCGTCCCCAGATTTGGGGCAGTGCCGTCGGAGACTGACCAGCGGCAGGTGGCGGGCACAGCCACTCACAGGCGGTCCATTCGGAAGGTGTCCTCGGTGGCAGGGTCAGCTAAGACCATGTCGGGGTCATTCAACATATGAAGTCCATCCAGAGTCAGAGGGTCGATCTTCAGTTCATCCAGCGGAAACTGGTGGTCCGCATCAAAGCTGACGTCACTGACCCCGGCCAGCGTGCTGCTCAGGTCCTTAGATAGGCTTGGGGGGGACTCTCCTGTCACTGTTGAGTGGGGACAAATGGTAAGCTCAGCCGTGGCTCTGGGGGACCAGACACCTCCCATCACGCCTCCCACCAGTGTGAAAAGCAGGGGTGGAATGGGGGACAGTTCACCCCCGAGGATTGTTCTGCAGGGGGATCAGAATATCTAGGGTGGCCTGAGCACAGCGGGCAGGGGCCAGGGACACTGCTCAGCAGCCTGAAGAGCCTGAGCTGGCCCAGCCATTTGGATAGGCCAGACACTTGCAAAGCCACACACTTGGTGGCAGATGGCAGTATAACCTGCAGGACATGCCCTCCCGACTCAGGGTCTGAGGTGCAAGGGTCCCCTATGGGGACCCACCTCCTTTTATTGGCAGGGAGGTGCTGACAGGTTCTAGATTCAGAATGAGAGTCACAACCATTCACCTGGGCTAGTCTTACAGATCTCACCCTACAAGCCCCAGGGGTCCTGAGCACACGCCCTCTGCCTGGGTGTGACACAGGGCCCACAGAAGGGTGACACTGCCCCCAGCAGATCTAGACTATACAGAAAGCACTCCTCTTTCATGCCTTATAAGAAAAAGGGAGATGGTCATGGGGGGCTTGGGGTGGGACCAACACTGGAGAAGCTACGCTCTGGAGTGAGGCTTCGCCACACCGCTCTGCAGGATGAAAAGGCCTGTTTCCAGGGCAGGTGGGAGCTGGGTTCTGCCAGCAAATGACGAGAGACGGCTGGGTGGAAGCATGTCCAGCCTGGTCCTAAACAGAGGGCTCTGGACACCGCCCCAGTATGTGGTCAGTCTCCCCGGCTGAAGATGAGAACTGAAACCCTCAGTGAGTGAGTGAGGAGCACTGGAAAGTGGGCGTGCAGGGTACGGTGTGAGTCGGGGGCAGAGCACACTGTAAGGACACAGCTGCAGGTGGCAGAGTGGACTGTGAGGAGGTGGCTGTGGGCGACAGTCCAGCGTGTCACTAGACAGTGTGAGGGGATGGTTTGGGGTGGGAACATGGTCAGTGTGCGGAGACCCCGGTGAGTGGACCCTGTGTCACGTTTGCAGTGGGATGCAGGGCCTCCTGTAGGGGCCAGCCTCAGCCTGTCACCCTGTATGGCAGGGGATCTGTGAAGGTACTCTTCATGTCCCCCAGGTCCCCAGGCCTGCTGGCAGTTGGCCTCACCTGTGAGGATGATGTTGGGGATTCCGCCGTGGCCTGCGTAGCCGAGTTGCTGCGGGTCCTGTAGGCCTCCATGGCTCCCGCTCAGGCCCATCATGGCAGCCTGGGAGTAGTTGAGTGTGGAGCCGGAGCTGTACAGGCTGCTAGAGCTGATAGCGCTCTCCATCATGTTGAACTGCTCCAGCTACAGAAGGAACCAAGGGAGGCAGTGAGGACAAGGATGGCGAAGGCTGCCCCCGTCCGACTCCTTCCCGGCTTCTCCACCCTGCAGCCCCACTGCGCTGCTGCATGGAGCTAGAGGCCTGCCCTTCCTCCCGTGACCTTAAACTCCACTCTGCAGGCTGCACAGGGCTCAAGGGGGTGCAGTCATCACCCCTGCCACGGCCTCAGCTTTCACAGCGCAACAGCAGGACTGGGCAAAGCTGTGAGGCCTGGGGTGGTACAGACAGAGGTCGCCATGGAGCCTGGGCATCTGCTTACCTGGCGGGACAGAGCATTGGCCTGCCTGGCTGTCATCTGCTGCTCATAGTACGCATCCCCAAACACGCTGCCCAAGGTGGACGTGTGCTGCGGACAGAAGAGAAGCCTGCTGTGGTCGCAGCCTGAGGCCCAGGAGAGGACGGTCAGACTGGGGATTGTGAAGCCTTTGCCTCCCACAGCCCGCTGGATGGGATAAAGACCCTTGGGGCATAAAGACCAGAGGGTGGGCATCACTGGCAACTATCTTGGAGTTCTTAGGGGGAGTGCCCTGATCCTGCGGTGATTGCTTCCTCCCACCCCCACCCCCAGGGCCTCTGATACTTCCCAAAGCACTGCCCCATCTACCGTGCTCCCACAGCCTGGGCACAGGAAACATCACTTCCTTTCTAGGGGAGCAGGGGCTGTGCCCTGAAGCTGAGGACTGGAGTGCCAGGCAGTGTGCCCATCATATCTGGGGTGTAGCAGCCATTGCCTGGGGCTGCTGCTGGGGAGAGCCCGGGCTCTGTGGAGGTTCAATCCTATCGCACTTGCTTTTTACCCGAGGCTGGCTGGACTCTTTAGGGGCCATGGGAAAGCTGGAAGGGAGCTCCTGCTGGCTACACTAGGGACAGGGGCAAAGGGGAACAAGTGACCACAAATGTGGTTAAGTCACACCCAAGGCACCTAATGGTCCCAGCCAGACTTGTGCTGTCACAGGCCAGATTTCAGGGGCTCCCCAGTGTGGCATACAGTGCAGAAGGCTAGCGGGATTCCAGGACAGTGTCCATGGCCACCAGCTCCCCTTGGGCTTCACCTAGGCTAGCTTAGGGTCCGGTTCCTGAGAGGAGACAGAGCCCACAGCCTCACCAGCAGCTGAAAAGTTCATCAAAGTTCACCAAAGGGTGGGCACAGGGCTATTTTTGGGGTGCTGGGGGTGCTTTTGAGATGGTGGCTGATTCTGTCTCCAGCTGTGGTACAGGCCTGGCGGGACAGACAAGACAGCATGTGGAGAGGGGATGTAGAAGGCATGAGAGGCACATGGCCACGGCCCAAAGGACATGTTTAGGGAAACCCAATGAAGCCAGATGTGCTGTTGCCCAGCCAGACGCCTCTGGGTTCTGGGAGGAGCTTGTGCTTCTGCGGTCTCCCACTGGGGTCAAATGCCCCAAGAGTCCTGTCCTCACTGGCATGAAACACCTTTTTTCCACATCAGAGATACATACAGAGAGAGGCTGAGTGAAACAGGATGAGGTGCCTGCCCAGAACAGGACAACCTATGCCATAATTTTTCAGAGAAGTGTGTCATGGACTGTGGGCTCCTACTCTGCCCTGTCCGCCTCTGTCCCTAGAGCCCCAGAGCGCAGTGTGAGTGAACCGAGATGCGCTGACCCCAGGTGGACGCCAGGTGACGAAGCAGGTAAATGGCCACTTAGGGGGACCTCAAAGCCTAGTCTTTGTTGCCCGACACAAGGCAGTCTAGTGCTCCTGCCTGCTCTAGCCTGGAAGGAATCTACCGGTCCTGAACTGAGGCTGAGGACAGACTAATCCAAGCGGCTCAGTGGTTAAGAGCACTGGCTGCTCTCCTAAAGGAGCGGGTTCAATTCCCAGCACCCACATGGCAGCTCACAACTGTCTGTAACCCCAGTTCCAAGGGACCTGAGACCTTCACAGTAATGCACATAACCTAAGACTAATCCAAGTCTCTTTGCCGGGTGGCATTTTCGGGTGGGGTGGCCAAGGAAGTCGTGCAGGAAACGTGGGTCTGATGAGACGGGGCTATGCCTGGAATGAGCACGGCAGGGAGCGGGCTGCACGGAGGAGTGAGGGATGCTTTCTTAGGCTGAGCTGGGCCAAGACAGGGATCAGGGATGGGCCAGTGGAGGGCATCTAGGATCTGGTGGTCAGCTGCACCAAGTCTGGGCTGCTGTGCCAACATATGGGTGTCATCCCAGCACTGGGGAGGAGGCTGAGGCGGGAGGATTCAGAGTTTGAGGCCACCTGGATTACAGAGTGAATCGGAGGATAGCCCGAGCCCCATAAAACACAACCCAATAAAACAAAACCCAGTTAGCCAGATGAGGCTATACCCTGTTTGCTGCGTTACCAATAGCTGGATGGACCTAGGGACCAGGGGTAGAGGCAGAACAGCCACCATAGGCTGGCTGGTCACCTCAGCTCTGCCCCGGACAGGCCCTACCTTGACCTCACAGGCCTTGGAGCTTCCGGCTCCGTGGGCCTCCAAGCTTCACCCTGAGGCTGCTCTGGCAGCCTGAGAACCTCTAAGCCATGTCTCGAGTAACTTTGGGCTACGGGCATCACTGATGTGACTAACTTCTGTGCCCTGTCCTGTGACCTGCCCCTTGCCTCAGGTGGCCTGCCTGGTGGGCGCATTGCCCTGGGGGCTGATGGAGAGGACAGATGGCATGGAGTGGGTGACCGAATGGGAGAGTACTGGGCAATGGGACAAGCGAAGTGGCCCAACGCCAGGGGAGGGTCCTCACCTGTGGGGAGCTTCCGGGGGAGAAACCTTGATTGGAGACTGGAGAGGTGGGAGACTGGTTGGCCGACCCTGCACTTGTGCGGTACTGCAGAGCCGATGCCTGTGATGACAGACAGTTCAGGCTTCGCTGACCCCTGCTGGCCCAAGAGCCCCGGGCCTGGTGCCTGGACCCTCAGCAATGGACGCCACACAGCTGGTCAGCAGCTCTGAGGTGGAGAACGTGACTGCAAGCCTGGCTTCCCGAAGGTGAGCGCACGAAGGGCTGCAGCCCACAGCAGGGGCTCTTGCCCCCGCCCTCTCAGAGCTGCCAGCACTGGACACAGCACCCTCTGGGTGCACTGCACCCTGAATCATCTGCACATCCAGACTGACCCACACACTCCTAAAAGCACACCACATGAACGCCCACCCCCACTCAGGAAAACACAGCCCATTCATGAATGCAGCTAAAGGACCCACAAGCACACTGGTAGTACTCGCCCACACGCACCCCTCACACACAAACACTCCCTGGCGAACACCGACACACCCTCAGCACACCTGCACACACATGCCCCCTGCCCTGCACACTGGGTGGGGCGGCAGCCCAGCACAGAGGATGGCCTTCTGCCCCATCCCCCGTCATGTGCATCCCGGAGGCTGCCACGTCTGCGGTGACACACCGGCAGGGCCACTACAAAGACCACAGCGGGCCACAGAACAGGCCCTGCAGGGACCGCCTGCCTGGGTCAGTGCACCGGGAGGGAGCGCGCTCTTGCCTGCTCCGGGCACCATCACCTGGCCCAGAGGCTGCGCAGGGGCTGGGCCTGAGCTCAGCCTGCACGCCGCCCTGTGCCTCCAACCGTGTCCCAGGCCTCTCAGCCCTGCTGCTGAGTGAGCCTCAGCCTCCCAGGAGTCTCCCCACTTTATTGGCTCTGCACAAGCAGGCTGGGTGGGGTCAGGTCATATGGGTTTAGGGGAGGGGGGCTCCACTCGAGCAGGAGACGGGGTGAAGGAGGGACCAGGAGCTACACGGCGAGAGCTGGTCTCAGAGCTGGTGAGGAAAGGACCACAGAGAGCCCCATTGAGCTGTGATGCTGTCCAGGCCCACTGTCCCTGGAGGACAGCAGTCCATGGAGTGGGGCCCAGGCTCTGCTGAGTGTCCTCGTCTGGCTGGAGCACCGTGCTACTATCTCAGCTGTGCAGGGTACCTCCATCTGGGTTCCCATGGCATGTCCCCTCTGGGGCTCAGCCACGTGGCAGCATGGCCTCCAAGCCGCTGGCTCACCTGATCACCATATGCAGGCCAGCAGCCTGGGCTCAAATGAAAAATGGGCAAAGCTCACAGTGTTCCCAAATGAGTCTTCCCATGCGGCACATCACAGATGGGAAGTGCCATCTCCATACTCAGCAAGGCATGGAGGTCAGGGTTAGAGTGTATCTAACCCGGCGCCTTTCTTCGTCCCTCCTGCCTGCGCCTCAGTCCAACCTGGTCCCCTTGACTGCAGCAAGAATGCAGCTGAGAGTGGGTTTAGTCAGGAATCACTGACCCTGTTGGAGCCTCAGTTTCTCCCGCTGTACACATTTAACTGTCTCAACATTAACAGTGCCCAGGGCCCCTCTCAGGCTTACCGAGGCAGCGTCAATCCCCAGAGGAGGCTGGCCCGGGCTCTCCGCAGGGGACTGGGGAAGAGTGGACGGTACAGTGACGGAAAGTGGCGGCAGCTGAGGCCCCCGAGTCAGGCTGGCACTGGGCAGCAGTGGGCCACCCTGGGGGAGAGCCACAGACACCTGGGGGGGTGGAGGTTGCTGCTGGGACACAGGCGGAGGTGGAGGCGGTGGCTGGGGCTGAGGGGGAGGCTGCTGGGAGCCAGCCTGCGTGAAGAAGGCATAGGGCAGCTGTTGCTCCAGGGACAGGGTGTCCATGGCCATGGCCTGCAGAGGAAAGGATGAGGATGAGGAGCTGAACCTCCAGGAGCAGGGGAGGAACCCTGTGGACCGGATCCCCAGAGCCTGTTCTCCCCAGAGCGACCGAGCCAAACCTCTAACAGGGAAGAGCAAACAGAGACCTGGGAAGGGCGGTGCACAGCAGCACCTGGGATGCCAGGGCGGGAACGTCACTCTAAGCACGGAGCCAGCCTACACTGCTGAGGGAGCTTCTGCCTGCTGATAGCCCTTGGGCCACTCCAAGACCAAGAGGGGTGACACAGGAGATGGGAATAGAAGGGTGATGAATGCATGGCCATTCTCACCTCAATGCTACATGAGCCTTGTCTCAAAACCACCAAAAACACCCTAAATTATATATCATAAAAACATGGATTTGTGAAAATTTCATCTGACATTTTGTTGATAAACAGTATAAACAGGGCCGGAGAGACAGCTGAGGGGTTAAGAGCACCGGCTGCGCTTGCAGAGGTTCAGCCCTCACCCACACGGTGGCTTACAGTCACCTCCAACTCCAGGTCCAAGGGCTCTGCCACCCTCTGGTCCCCAAAGGAACCTGTATGGGCACGGCGCTCACAAACTCACTCAAGCACACACATACACACAAAAATAATAAATACATCTTCCCCACCCACCTCACCCTCGCACCTGAGTGATGGGTGACAGAGGGGACATGGTGGGTGACACCTGCTGGGCCTGCTGCCGCCTGGCCTCTGTGCTCAGGGACAGGGAACTGACAACGGCTGGCCGGTGCTGTGGAGAAGAGCTGGGCGTATTCATACCTGAGGGGAAAAGAAGGGAACTTGTGAGACATGGCCACACCACAGGAGCACAGCCCAGCTGCCCGGAGAGAAGCCAGAGCCAAACCTGGCATGGGGCTCTGAGGAGGGTCCCCCAACCCAGAAACCTACTTGCCTTTCCTGCTGACTACAGCCCAAGAGGGGAGTGTCCCACATCCCCAGCCCATCAGGGCCCCTCCCATGTAACCAATCAGAGCCTATCTTGAGATCTTGGCTATTATCCCAGAAGTGTTACCCATAATTGGTAGAGGGGAGTTGCCAGCCACAGGGGCCTAGGAGCCCTGCTGGCCTGTGGTGACAGGGATGGTGGTTGTAAGCTCCTACCCAGCCATCATGATGCTCCCTGGCCTGAGAAAATGAGATGCCTCCCTACTGGGACATACATATGTATCTATATGTAATACATAATAAAGTATACATGTATCATTTAAGTGAGTACTTTGCCTGAGTGTATGCCTGTGCACTGTGTACACAGTGACTGTGGAGGACAAGAGAGGAGTTGAAGTCCCTGGAGCTGGAGTTAAGGATGGTTGTGAGCCACCATGTGGGTGCTGGAAATTGAACCTGGGTCCTTTGTAAGAGCAACAACTACTCTTAATCACTGAGACAAAGATCCAGCCCCCATTTATGTATCTATCTATCTACCCACCTACCTATCTATCTAAGACAGGGTTTTGGTGTCTCTGGGTAGCCTTGGCTGTCCGGGAACTCACTCTTTAGCCCAGGCTGGCCTCAAACTCAGACCCGCCTGCCTCTGCCTCCCGACATGCTGGGAATGCAGGTGGGCCACTGTGCCCAGCTGGCTTCACATTTTTATTTATTCTTTTGAGTTAGGGTTTTGTATAGCTCAGGTTGGTCTCAAGCTGGCCACATAGTGACGACAACTGTGAACTCCTGAGCCTCCTGAGTCCTAAGGTGACAGGTGTGAGGCACCACGCCCAGCTTCTGCTGTACTAGGGATCAAACCCAGGGACTCTGCACATGTCGGGACTCTGACAACTGAGCTGCCAGTGCTGTTCCACATTAGCTTCAAGCTACCAGGCCATTACTACTGTGTAATATAAGGCTAGCTTGGAACTCACTAAGTAGCCCAGGCTGGCTCTGGCATCAGAACAATCCCCCTGTCCCTATCTCCCAACACAAATCTCAGGTCTGTGCCACCATAGCCCATCTTCCTTTTTGTCTTGACTCAGGTAAGGCCTTCCCACGGGAGGCTGGGTTTCTGCAACATCAGAGCCCTCCCCAGTCCAGACCCAAACTTGTTCTTTCCTGTCAAGGCATCTCTCACTGACCTAGTGACCTTCATCCACAATCTTCTTTGGCATCCTCAGGATGACGGAGACCCCCTCCCTGCACCACTCTTTCAAGGCTGCCTGAACTAAAACCAGACTCTTTCCCACACCGCCCAGCCCTGCCCTAGAGCGACAAGTCTGCACCTGCCAGGGCCTCTGTGGGTCTCATTGCCCCTTCCCTGACCCCCACCTGGGCTCTGATCCCTGAATGCTGGGGTGATGAGGGAGAGGGACCTAGGTGAGATCAAGGGCGCCAGGCAGAGTGGGGGGCCTGTTGCCTCATGCTGGGCACCAAGCCAAGCAGCAACAGGTTCCTAGGATACTGCTTCCTCATCAGGGGCCAGCAGATATCAACGAAGCCTTCAGGGGTTCAAGGTGAAGCCCCGAGAGGTCACCATCAGAGCTGGGTGAGGCTGCCTGACTCACCAGCGGATCCGGGCCTGCCTGCCCTGGGCCCCTGACCCACCGTGCTCCTGAAGTTGGGTGAGTGGGAACACACCCAGCACCCCCAGGCACTCGCCTTTGTGCCTGGGGCAGGTCTCTGAGGGACAGCCTGCCCTCCCCTCCAATCCTGCTTGGCTCTGTTCTCTCCTTGGGCTGGGGATGCACCAGCTACTGCTCTGGTGGCCAAGCCAGGTGGGGTCCTGCTATGGAGGGGCTGTCAATGGAATCCAAGGCAGGAGGAGTCTGGGAGGCAGTGCTCAGAGTGTGCAGAAGTGCAGAACAAGGCTGCTGCCTTGGTTCCGAGAGACAGTTCCGTCCTGTGTCTGTTGGGGCAGACACCTGCTCAGACCCAGAGCAGGCGCTGGGCCGGCGAGGACACACAGCCAGGTAAGACCGGGATGTGGGCTCACAGGTTAAGGGCACTGGCTGCTCTTCCAGGACCTGGGCTTAATTCTCAGCACCCACACAGGCTCATAACCAAGTCTGTCACCTAGGGGACCCTCCAGGTGCTTCTGATCTCTAAGGGCACCAGACACATAATGGTGCACAGACATGTATACAGGCAAAACACTTGCACATGTAAGATGAATCTAAAAGTAACTGTAAAAATAAGTGCATGTAGGCGGCTGGGGTGTGACTGACAGGATGCCTGGCGCTCAGCTGGTGCACTGCTTGCTGAGAATGCACAGGGCTCTGGTTTAGCCACAAACACCACACAGAATGGTGCATACCTGTCAACCTGCACCTGGGAGACGGAGGCAGGAGGATTAGGAGTTTGAGACCAGCCCTGATCATTGCAAGTCCTAGCCTAGCCTGAGCTACATGAGACTCCGTTTCCCACAAAACAACAAATGAAGGTGAGAGTGCGGTGGGGCTGGGAGACGCTTGGTTGGGAGCACAGGCTGCTCTTCCGGAGGGCCAGGGCGTTCTTCACGCCTCAGCGCAGCAGGTGTACATGGCACACACACGAGAGTGGAAGTGGGGCAAACGGCCAGGCAGGGCCCAAGGACCCTTTCTGAGATAGTCTTCCTCTACAGCCCAAGATGGCCTGAAACTTGGTGACTCTCCTGCCTCAGCTTCCTGAGTGCTGGGATGACAGGTGTGAGACACTATGCTTTGCTTGATTTTTAAAAACTGGTTGTGCATGCTTTTAATCCCAGCACTCAGAAGTCTGAGGCAGGCAGATGGTAGAGTTTGAGTCTGAGGTGAGCGTGGTCTACAGCATGAGCTCCAGGACGGCCGGGGCTGCATAGCAGGATCCTTTAATACCGTGTTTGTGTGAGTGACGTGTGTGTGTGTGTGCAGGCAGGCGGCTGTGGACCCTGAAGAGGGGCTGGAGCTACAGAGAGCCATGAGCCAGGGCTGTGAGGGCTCCCCTGGAAGAGCAGTTCAGGCTTTCAATTGCTGAGCCACTGCCCGAGCCCAAGCTTCATTTTTAAAAAGTATTTATTTTTTTTAAATGTATTCATTTTCCTGTGGGGTAGGTGGGCCGGTGCAGGCACACGGGGACACGTGTGGAGGCCTCATGGCACGCTCAAGTTGCTTTTCTCCTTCCAGCATGAGTGTTCAGGGGACTGAACACAGGTCCTCGGGCTTGCTTCCCATGTCTCTACCCATTGAGCCATCTCACTAGCCGAGGCTGGCGCTCTCTGTCTCTGTCTCTGTTGTCAGGGTCTCAGTGTATAGCCCTTGCTGGCCTGGAACTCAATATGAAGACCAGGATGGCCTTGAACTCACAGAGATACACCTGCCTCCCTTGTGAACACTGGATTAAAGGCATATTTCATCATGTCTAGCCCCTTGGCTTCAGTTTTAAACATGGATGCAAAGTAATTAATAATCATGAGCTCTTATACACACAGACAGATAGACAGACACACAGGGACACAGCAGATAGACAGACCCTCCCCTCTGCCCCCCACCCCCTAAAGACAGACACACATCTGTGGGCCACAGGAGTCACACTTCCAGCTGCTGTTTAAGCCTGGTGGGCTAGTCATGAACACAAGGACATTTTTAATCCTGGCTTAAGCACTGCCACACCCAGAGAGGCCAGATGGGCAGGCAAGCCACACAAGTACCCCACTGGCAGGTTCCTCTGCACAGCCTGGATCACCTCCCGAGCAGAGCTAGCGGGAGGGGAAGTCTGGGCAGGGGAGGGCGGGGCAGGCTGGCCAGGTGGCGGTGGCCTAGCCCTGGCATGCACACTCGGTGACGGAGCCCGGAAGGCACTCCTGGGCCACCATCCTGTGTACTGGTTCTCAGTCAAAGTGGGGCATGGGCCACGGTCTCCCAGCTCCTCTCCTCCCGAGGGCCTGGCAGTGGAGCGGGAGCTTGACACTGACTGTGTGTGCCAGGCCTGGCTTGACCTAAAAGGTGCCCAGAAATGGAGTCTGTGTGAAGGGGAGTGGCTGGCTCTTAAAACAACCACACATGGCACATATTACTGGTCAGGGTTGGCCCCCCTGGCGAGCTGACAACAGTGTCGCATAAGCTATTCACCGTGCTTGTCCACACTGGGACTGCAGCAGCTGGCTGAAGCCCTGCAGCAGGAGGTGCAGGAGATACAGAGGAGAGCAAGGCTTTGGGCACGGCAGACTGCGCAGGGCTGAGGCCTCCTGCTTCTAAACACCCAGGCACTCCCTGGTGTTCTGGGCCTGACAGGCACAAGGCTAGGCTGTCCTCAGACGAGGGCCTTGCTCTCTCGAGTTCCCGCCTCATCTGCTCACATGGAGCCTAGGAAAGCGGAGGAGGCAGTGAGCGTGGCCAGCGGCAAGGCTGGCTGGGGACCTGTGGGCGGCCCAGCTCTGTCTTTAGCATCTCCCAAGCAGACAGCCCCAGCAATTAGTGACCCTCCTGTTCTATCTCAGGAGACAAAAACACCCCGGGCACACTCGCACCTTCTCACCTGCCATGGACCTGATGGACTGGCATTGGTGACAAGTATGGAGGACCCTGCTCTCAACTTCCCACATCAATCCTGCCTCTAGGGCTGCAGTGCTCCTGACCAGCTTAGTCCCAGGTCTGGGGAGCAGGAACATGCAGCCCTGGCAGCCAGGGGCTTGCTGTGTCACATCTGGGACAAAGATAGATACAAGCCCACCTGACGGAGGCTCAAGAACAGTGGAAGGTGCTAGCCGGACAGGGTGAGTGGGTGAGCAGGACGGGGGGCGAGTGCCCAGGCAGCTTGTAAAGAGAGTCTGAGGTGAGAGCTGGAGGTGCAGGACACAGCTTTCACGGGGTAAAGAAGGGTGCTGAGCAGGGTCGGTCTCGCAGTGGGTCTGATAGGTCGTGCCTTTAATGAGTAGGCAGTAAAAGTAAAGAGGACACAGCCACAGTTATCAGAAGAAGCAGTGTTGGGTCAAACTGGGAACCAGTGGGACCGGCAAGGAGAAGATGGACATTCCCAAGCAATAGGCCAAGGGGAGAAATGAGCTTTTAAAAAGGTGAGGGAGGTCTGGAGTGATGGCCCGATAGTTAAGAACACTAGATGCTGTTCTAGAGGATACAGGTTAGTTCCCAGCATGCATGTGGCTCCTTACCGCTGTCTGTTAGCTCCAAATCCAAGGATCCAACACCCTTTCTGGCCTCAGCAAGTGCTGTACACATGTGGTGCACAGACATATGTGTGGGCAAAATACCCAGAAACCGAAATAGTTTTTAATTAAAAAAAAAAGTGGGGTTGGAAGGGCCAAGCTGAACTGTCACAAACAAACCAGGGTTTAGGACTCCTTCCTGACTCCCAGGCTTCCCTGAGGCAGAGAGTTGCACAGCACAGCCCTAAAGCCATGGCCTGATCCCTGGAGGCAACACTCACCTTCCTACCCTCTGCACAGGCCTCTGGGGCCCTGGGGGCGGGTGTGTCACCCCTAGACACAGCCCCTGAAGCCCTCACTCCAGTGGTGCTGCCAGGTTGGGGCAGACGGGGCCTTACCCTGGCCTGCGCCGCTGACACCGAGATGTGCGAGGCTGCCAGTGCTGCTGGAGCTGGTGAGCACAGGGAATGAGGGCTCCTCGGGGTCCAGTGGCGTCGGCAGTGGAGAGGGGAAGTGGACATTGGTGAGGTCAGGGAGGGAGCCACCTGTGTTGTGGGTAGCGGGCATCAGGGCTGTCGTGTTCTCCTGGTCTGCAGATGGGAAGATGCTGGGGAAGGCCACATGGGGGGCAGGACATGAGGTCTGGGGACAGTGACTAGTGGGCCAGCCATGCCACCCCAGGACAACTGTAGTAGGACGGGAGGAGCCTAGGGAATCACTGGATACAAAAGACCCTTCAGTAAGCCATGAGCCTACAGGACCCCAGGAGGAAGAGGGATCATGCCTGCCATCAAGTGACACCCCTGTCACACAGGATCTCCTTGGTGCCCTCTGGTGGCACGCTCATTGTCGCCCCTGCCAACAGGTGCAGGCCTTGGGGAGCAGAGGGGGTGTGTGTGGGGGCCCAGCTGACTTACTTGATTCCAGGGACCTCGCAGGACTTGGGCCTGGAACCCGTCTGAAAGAGAGCAGATGGCAGGTGGCAGGCATGGCTGCCTGTGTGCTGCGCCCAGGGTTGTCCTTCCCTTCCCTGTCCGGGGCTCAGCAGCCGTGCAGTGCAGGGGCAGAGCCAGGGCTATAAGGAGGGGTTCCCCACATCTTCCCCAGATCCTGTAGCTGCCCTTCTGTGTGGTCACATACAAGATCTTTGTAGCCCCAAGCCCAGCTCTAGGCTGCAGCACTGGGGGCCAGCCTGCCTGGGGGTCTCTGGCCGATGTGGGTCGAGACACAGGACAGGCAGCCTTATGATGTTGGCAGGCAGGGGCTGTGGGCTCTGAGACCCTGGTCATCTGGGGCCAGTGCTCTGGGCTAGAGCAGACCAGAGGTACGTAAGACAGGCAGGCAGCTGCTGGAGGCTTCCCTGAGGGTGGCTTGTGACCAGCAGTCTTGACAGATCCCCAGAGTAAACACTTGCTATGTTATGGGGCTCTTGCTGGCCCAAGGAAAATCTGAAAAAGCCTTCTGGGGCCAACACTACAGCTCAGCCAGTAGAAGAGCTTGCCACATAGGCTGATGGTCTGAGTTGGATTCCCAGGACATACATGGCAGGAGAGACCCTGCCTCCTACAGCTGTCCCCTCTCCTCCACACACTTGCCAGGGCACAAACACGTAAGCATATGCTTATGCGCACGCATGTGCTCGCTCGCGCGCATGCACACACACATTCATGTACACAATGTATTTTTTAAAATGTAATTTTTAAAAAAGCCAAGCGTTCATGGACTCTGAGACTCTCACAGCTTTCTTCTACATAAAAAGCCCCCATGCTCTTTGAATATATATGCTCATTCTTTTTAATATTTTTACTGTGGCACACTCTCATGTGGCCCAGGCTGGCTGTGAGCCCTGCTTGCACTGCCTCAACCCTCTGACTGCTGAGGTGAGCAGCACCTGACAGGCCGCACCCACCCTCTTCTGAAACTGCACCAAGAGTTTAGAGCTGCATCTGCATGGTTAGAATTCTGGATGGAAAAGAATTCTGGGTTTTTTGGTTTTTTTTCCGTTTTTTATTTTTGGTTTGAGATAAGGTTTCTCTGTGTAGCTCTGGCTGTTCTGAAACTTTTTATGTAGACCAGGCTGGCCTTGAACTCACAATGATCTGCCCAAGGTCCGTTTGCCTCTACCTCCAGAGTGCTGGAATTAAAGACATGCACCAATACCGCCCTGCCTATTTTTAAAACCTTGTTTGGCGTGTACTTTGGCTGCACGTCTGACTGTGTGCCCTCTATACCTGGTACCTCTAAAGTCAGAAGAGGGCATTGGATCCCTTGGAACTAAAGTCACAGATGGTTGTGAGTTACCTTCTGGGTACTGGGGACCAAACCTGGGCCCTCTGCAAGAGCAGCCAGCGCTCTTAAGAGCTGAGCCAACTCTCCAGCCCCTACCTTTTCCTTTTAAAAACACATTTCCTTGTGTGTACAGGTGAGGGGTCTGGCGTCCTCGTGCTGTGACAAGCATGTGGAGGTCACAGAACAACTTGAGGGTGTTGGTTCTCTCCTACCATGTGGCTCCTAGGAATGAGAGTGAGGTCATCGGGTTTGGCGGCAAGCACCTTCGCCTGCTGGGCCCTTCACTCTTCTGCTTCCACTTGCAGTCTGAAGCAAGGCCTTGCTCTACCACCTGAACCTCAGCTCCTGCCTGGGCCAGGGTGTGGGCTGCCATAGTCGCAGCTGGGATGAGGGTCTGTGTGCTTCACTACCCTGCCTGGCCACAGACATTAGTAGTTGCAGGTGTTTCTGGGCAGTTTGACAGGCCTGCTGTTGATGTCAAGGCTTGGTTGCCAGGAAGGTAGAGCAAGGTTCCCCCTCAACATGCCACCTGCTCATTCCCAGGCGAGGTTTGAAAAGCACATGAAGAAAAACGGTTGGCCCACCCAGCAGCTCTTACCTTCTTTGAGTCCCAAGACTGCTTAGAGAGGGTCTTGTCTGTCTCGGACCCTGTCTCCTCCATTCCTGGGACAGTGAGCAATAAGACTGGGTGAAAGGGGAGAGAAGAGTCAGGACGACATGACCACACATGACCCTGCTGACAGTGGGCCTAACGGCAAGCTTAAGTGTTCTCCTATGCTGTGAAAGGGGCCTTAGCTAACAAGAAAACCCTGTACAAGGAACACCAGCGGGCTGCATGGTGCAAAGAAGCCAAGATGGCATCTGGAGCCAGGGGTCAACACTGTGCAGAATGCTGCCCCACCCCCACCACCTCTCTGGAGGCCTTGGCTGTACATGTCAGCAGAGTATCCGAGACCCTTCCCCTGCCACCTGCTGCCCTGTCAGCACCTGCCATCACTCAGCAATGCCGCCAGCCAGGAGCTGGGCCAGGCTTGGGTTTCCCACACTGAGGATAGGTTCTGACCCTAGTGTTAATGCTATCTGAGATTTAACGAATTTTCTCAGCAATTCATTAAATTGGGTGCTTGAGAGTGAGCAGAGATGTCAGAAGGGACCTCAGGCTAGGCCAGTGGGTGGGACTGGAGAGCTTGGGGCCTGGTGGGAAGCCTGAAGGATGAGACACTGAGATGCTGGAACCAGCCATGCCTGAAGCCCAATTTTAGTCTTTGTTTTATTTTGTCGTGCTGGGGACGGATACCGGGCCCCACACATGCTCAACAAATATTGTCCCTAAGCCCCATGTCTTTTGCCTTTTGCTGGTTTCATTTCTTGCCTTGTGACTTCAAGGGCCAGGAGAAATGATGGCAGATGGGAAAGAACTTCATGGAGAGCAGGTCGGGGTGCCAGGAGGCAGCCAGGGAAACCTCCACTCTGTACCTCCTTGGTCCCTCTAGGGGCGCAGGGACAGGTGACATGGGTCTTCCCATACCAAGGCTGGCTGGATCCTGTGCACAGAACCTCACCCAAGGCTCCTGACAGAGCTCCTGGGCATCCCAGACACCCTACTTGAAGAGAGCCCTCAGGTCTCAGCACTGTCTGCCTGGCCCTCCTACACTGCAGGCAGGGTTTTGGGCTCACAGCCCTGGCTGCCTGCCACGCAACCCCTCCCCCAGCATGAGTCCTTTAACCAGGAGAGGCTCCCTGACCCTGTGAACTGCTACACAAGGCCCCCCCTCAGCAGTGGGGCCTCAAAGGCATGAGAGATGATTTGCTGTCTAAGGCTGGGTCAGGCCTGGGGTGGGTTTGCTGAACCTAGCCTCACAGAACCCACATTCCTATCCCACCACAACAATTGATGGAAGAGCTATGTTGAAGTCTAGCTGTCACGTGGGGGCCTAGGACTGGGGCGCAGCCTCAGCTACAGGGCTGTGTGCAGAGCTGGTGAGGAAGCTAGCCCCAAACCTGGGTTGAAGAGGGCCCCTTTCTCATACAGGGTTACCTGGCTAGGCCCCGGGGAGGGGGGAAGATGGCCTGGGCCATAGAGTTGGAATCCTGCATCAAGTGGTTCCTGGAGCTGGAGTCTATCGACAGCTACCGTGTGAGTTAACGAACCCCCTCTGCATGTGCTTGCCAACTTCCTACTGCTCAAGCAGTCACAGGCATAGCCGCCGATGCCCTGGCCAAGCCCTAGCCCAGAATACAGCCAGCGTGCCTCGTACAGGGCCAGTCCTGCTCACAAAACACGTACGCCTTCTCCAACACCCCACTCTGGTAACTCTGCCTGGGAACAACTGTCAATTCTGATTCTTCCTCTAAATACTAGTCCACCTTGGGTGTGGGGGCTACAGGCTGAGTTGCCTGAGCCTAGCGGAAACACTGAACCCCTGACTCACCTCTCTTGTGGTGCCCATCCTGGGACCCGCCTGCGAAGGGTTCTGCCTGTGTGGGGGTCAGTGTGCTCTGGTGCAAGGCAGAGTCAGAGTTGGTCCTGGAAGACAGAGATGCTGACACAGGAGCAGTCCCAAGCTACCCATGTGACATAGTCTTAATCCCCACAAGGGTCCAGGACGTGCCCTATGGGTTAGGGCAGCCTGTGTGGGTCAGTCCACCAGCTGTGTGGTCCCAGGTCAGTGGTCTGGCCTCTCTGTGTTTAATTTTATTGTGGATAAAACCGACAGCTTACAGACGAGGGCTGTTTCTTGAGGCAGGTCTCATGTGGCCCAGGATGGCCTTAAACTCACTGTGATCCTCTTAAGTGCTGTGATCATATATGCACACGAGGTGACACACATGTGGAGCTCAGAAGATAGCCTTGGTGCTAAGCTCCCCTTCCACCTCCTTCCCTTGTTGTTGGCTGCCGAGCCTGATCCCCTCCAAGGACCTGCATCCTATCTGGAGTGGTCCAGAGAGTACAGATGTGTACCACTGTGTCTGAGTTTATGTGGGTGACAGGATTTGAACTCAGGTCCTCGTGTCTTGGCACGATTTACCAAAGAAGTTCCCTACTGCCCAGCTCTCCATGCCCAGCCGTGTTCTTTTAAAAGATTTACTTAGTTTTTTTCTATGTGTGTGGCTATTTTGCCTTTGTGCATGCCTGTGTACCAAGGGAGCACCTGGTGTCCACAGAGGGTAGAAGAGGGTTCCAGATCCCCTGGAACTGGAGAAACGAATAGTTGGGAGCTGCCACATGGGTGCTGGGAATCAACCCGGACCCTCTGGAAGAGCAGTCTGTACTCTTTTAACTGCTGCATCATCTCTCCAGGTTTATGTGGGGCTGGGGGTAAAGTCCACACTTTGTGCATGCTAGGTGAGCACTGCCAACTGAGTTCCATCTCAGCGTGGTCTGCTTTAACTGAGAGTGTTAGCTAGGGATGGCAATCCATCTGTGTGGTCCCAGCAACCATGAAGAGAGAGGAGTGCTTGAGCCCAGGAATCTGAGGACTGCCTGGAGCACTGTGAGAAGCCATGTCAGCCCTGGGACCCATACGGCAGGAGAGAGCTGAGAGGCTGTGGCACACATGCTCTCCCCAGCCCCTAAAAGCCCCGTGTGGAGCTCACAACTGTAATTCCAGCACTCAGGAGGCTGATGCAGGCAGATCTCTGTAAGTTCAAGGCCAGCCAGGCCTATACAGTAAAAACTGATCTCAAAACAGGACTGGATTATAACTCAAGTGCCCAAGTAGGCCTTGGTTTTCATCTCTAACACATCAACTGGGCATGGTGGTCCAGGCCTGTCCCCCAGGGGCAATGCTGGAGGGTGACACAGCAAATCTAGGGCAGCCTGAGTCCACGAGGGCCTGCCTCAGAGAGAATAGTAGCAGAGTACGGCATTAGATAGCGCCACTATCTCTGGACCGTGCCCTCAGGGATCCACGGGGCACTGAGCCATGTAACTCACAGCCCTGACACATCCCTGTGATGCACAGTGCAGTGTCAGCACAGAACCTTCACATCCTCCCAGAGGCCAGCTGCCTCAGGCGAGAGAGCGCCACCGCGTGCGCAGTTATCACACTGTTCTTTTTCAAGATTGATTTTATTTTTATTTACGTGTGCATGTGTGTCTCTGCATGTAATATGCATGTAGCCCCTCTGGAGGTCAGAAGAGGGTGTCAGAGCCCCTGGATCTGGAGTTATAGGTGCTTGTAAGCCACCATGTGGTGCCGGCACTCAAACCTGGGTACTTTGGAAGAGCAGCCACCATCCTTGCTGCTGAGCTGCCTCTGCAGCCCCTTGTTTTGGAGGCAGGGTCTTACTGTGCAGCCCTGACCGGCCCGTAGCTCACAGAGATCCGCCTGCCCCTGCCTCCCACATGCTGGAATGACAAGTGGGAACCCCCACATCCTGCAAATACTGACAGGCAGCAATCCCCACAGATTCAACCTTGTGGTGCTGGGCATGGAAGCAGGGTCCTCATGTGTGGCAGCAGTACTCGCCACAGATCAGCATCTCAGCTGCCGAAGACCGCTTAGAAATGTGCCTGAAATGCAGCTTCCACGGAGGCAAAATGCCAGGCCCCGTGCGAAAGCCAGCCTCTGAGAGCTTCCTAGTCTCTTGGAAGTTTGAGTCGGGAGGACGACTGCAGCCTGGGGATTTGCTGTGGGTCTGGGCTATCAAGTGAAAGGCTCATTAAGAGAACCAAAAAAAAAAAAAAAAAGAAATAGGCAAGATACACCATTGACTATTCAATTCCAAAAAGAATTAAGAAATACGGAAAAGGGGGGGAAGGAGGAGGAAGAGCTGGGTGAGCGGAGGAAGCGGAGGAGGAAGAGGAGGAAGGTGAGGAAGAGGAGGAAGACAAGGAACAGGGAGAAATGAGGCTCTGAAGCCATGACCTCCACATTTCAGAGTTGACTTCTGAGATCTTTGGAAGCATCTTGCTTGTTTGGTCACTTTCCTGGGACTCTGCCCTGCACCTCCATAGATGACTGTGATAAACATCTACACTGTTTGCTCTCAGAGGCCAGGTGGCCCCATCACTGACCTCCTCCAGCTGGTGTCCGAGGGAGGCGAGAGGTACACGGTGCCGTAGGGGCAGCTGTCAGCGTGCATGAGTTAAGGGAACCTCAAAGTGTACTCTGACCCGCCCTGTGCCCATGTCATGGTCTGATGCTCATCCTGTGAAGCCAGGCTGCTGGGAGCTGCTGGGAGTGGCTCAGGCTCCTAGCGTGTGCCTGGGCCTGCAGACAGCTGGCCAGGAGGGCAAGGCCGTTTCCTGCCTGGCTGGAAGCAGCTGTGGGTGCAGGGGCTCCCCGGGGGGGACCAGACCCATTCACCTACAACTCAGCACCATCCTCCCAAACCATTCCAAGAGGAGACCTGGGCCTCTAGCTGGGGCCCAGATGCCCTAGGGGGGCAAAGTGCAACTGACCTCTCCCAGCACCAAAGGCTCAGAAGCCAGAAGCAGGGAGCAGGCAGACAGTTCCACCCTGCAGAGCTGAGGGTGGGGTTAGAGCGACACAAAACCACGGTGATGGGGACCTGGCTGAGGCAGCCAAATTAGAAGAAAGGCTCTGGCAGGTACCCACCCTCCAAACAGCAGAGGCCGCCTGCATACGTGGCGTCACCGTTGTGCCCACCTGCACCTGGCTCTGTCCATACTGCCTTGACTGTGAGACCCCACAGCTCTTGCAGGCCTTGAAGACTTCCTACTGATTACTCACTGTGGCCTAGTCCTGTGGCTTGTGGTCACTCTCCTTAACTCCTCTCTTTCCCTCCCTCCCTCTCTTTTTCGAGACAGGGTTTCTCTGTTTAGCCTCAGCTGTCCTGGACTCACTTTGTAGACCAGTCCGGCCTCAAACTCATGAATATCTGCCTGTCTCTGCCACCCAAGTGTTGGGTTTAAAGGTGTGCACCCCTGCAGCCGGCTCAACCCTTCTTTGTCCCACCGACCTCGTGTCTTGCTCCCACATCCTGGCTGCTCCCCAGGCCTCCCCAGTTTGGTGTCTGCAGGCAACCGTGTGTGCCTGTCCCCCTGTTCCTTCCCGATCCCACACATCCTCTGCAAAAAGGATATCTGTCGCCCGTGCTTGTCTACTGACAAGGGCCGGCGGTGTGGGGAGCCCAGTCTGCCACGCTCACGATATACTCTGTCCACAAGCCCATGGTGTCGTGTGGTCCGACTCGTGTCCAGGCCTGAGGACTGAAATGGTGTCTGGGGAAAAAGATGGGTCAGGAACAGGGGTTCAGAAAGGAGTGGGGGACAGAAACACAAGCAACTAGCTAGAGGTTCCCCCAGCTCTACCCTCCGGGACCTCTGCTCTGGGGCACGCTCATACTCCACTCCACAGGCTTCTCTGGTAGCTCCAAGCTCTTGCTGAGCCACGGGGCTGGGGTGCAAAAGTCAGCAGGGCTCTCCCAGGAAGGGCAGGAGGCACAGAGCGTAGTCTGCATGCTTGGGACAGACAGGGCGCTACAAGCTTTGCCTGGGTGCCAGGGGTACAAACAACTGAGCAGCTCTCCCCAGCTGGCCAGGTGCAGACAGGCCTCCACCCTCTCTCCCCAGGCCTGGCTGGCCTCCTGTCCCCACCTACGTCATCTCTGGAGGGGCCTGCCAAGAGAGGCCCCCAGGGCTTCAAGCCCAGAGCTGCTGCGGGGCCCACCTGGCCCAGCGCTTGCTCCCAAGAGGATCGCAGCAGGGCCCAGAACTGCTCTGGATTGGGCTGTGACTCCCTCTCCTGCCCCCCTCTCCTGCTCCCACCCCCAGCATCTCAGCCAGGCACCACTGAGAGCCAAGTACAGGCGCCTTCCGGGGCTGTGGCGTGGCTGGATGCAGCTTCTTACCGGCACCTGGGCTGGCACAAGGCTCCAGGCAAGCCCTGGAGTCCCCAAGGCTGCCAGGAGCCTGTCACCATGTTAGGGTGAGCTCAGTTGCCTGTGCCAGCCCTAGACGTGTCTTGTCCCTATGCCTGCCTGGCTATCCATGCCCTAGGTTCTTTTGTCCCCCAGGCAGAAGGCAAAAGCCATTCTGATATTTAAACAGGCTTCCTTTCCAGGAAGCCATCCGGTGGTGGCTGAGATGGATCAGCCACTTCTGTTTGCCTTTAGGGCTGGCCATGTGGCCACTGCCAATTCTGTCCGTGATCTAGAAAAAGACCCTGATGATTCTGTACTTTCCTACCTTTTTTTTTTTGTTTTGTTTTGTTTTTGTTTTTCAAGACAGGATTTCTCTGTGTAGCCTTGGCTGTCCTGGAATTCATTCTATAGACCAGGCCGGCCTTGAACTCAGACTTCTCTATATTTTACCCAAAGAGAGGCAGTGAACCTCAAAGATGGCCTCCACCAGGGCCTGGGGAGGGCAGGAGCCAGTCCTCATTCTGTGACATCTAAAAGCCTGGAGGAGAAACTGAGGCAGCTGCTGCTCATCTCTTTAGACCCTGTCCCTGCACATCAGGCTCCTCCCAGTTCTCTGCCCCCATAAGCAACAAAGACCCATCCTGCACACAGGCTGCTAGCCCTCTCGTCTCTTCCCAGCCTTCTAATCCCCACCCATTTCTCCAGGCTCCTCCCAGTTCTCCTGTCTGCAGCTGGCCAGCTGGGGAGGGCTGCTCGGTCGTCCAGCCCTATTTGGGGTTCAGCGCTTGGGCATGTGCACGTTTGGGGGCTTGACCCATGCAGCCTGGGGCACATGCTTAGATTCTGCTGCAAAATACCCCAGGTCAGGCATCTGTCCAAGAAGGACCTTGAGTCTTAGGGACTTTGAGTGGCACCCTATGCACCTCCCAATATGGAGGCACTGAGGCAGATTCACATCAGGTAGGCAGATGGAGGAGGCACCATCCTGGAAGCCACAGGGACATTGTGGGGCACTCGGTGCCAACATAGGGGTCAAGGTCTTACAGGCTGCTGCTGGGCGAGTAACTGAGCCAAAAAATCCAGTGCATGAAATTGCAAGAATCCAACACTCTGTTCGGTGGGTATGTGCACCTTGGGCAAATGTGGTCCCAGCCAGGTCCCTGTGCCTTTGGATGGAGGAGTTCACTGTGATACCCACACAGGGTTAAGTGAGGGGGTAGTAGGGTGCTCTGGTTGAAGGAAGAGGAGCTGAAAGATAGATAAAGTGGAGCTCCCCTGACTCGGAGGGCCAGTGACTTCAGTCCGCCCCTAATCCCTGGAACTGCACCAAGCTAGCATCCCAAGCATGCCCAGGCCCGGGCTGTCTATCCCACCAGCCGCTGCATCATGAAGTAGGGGAGAAGAAGGTGACACTAAAGCCTGCCAGTTCTTGGGGACACAGTTACTCCCAGACCCTTGGTAGCACTGTGTGTGATGGCTGGAGGGCCCTGTCTACACCCCTCTCCTCACGCTTTTCCTGAAGACTGGGGTCTGGGGAGAAGACACCATCCCTTATCTACATTATTTTGACAGCGGTCTGTGGCCCGAGGGAACCACACAGGGTGTGCGGCTCTGCCAAGAACTGTCTGCAGACAAGTGGGGTCAGGCGGCAGGGGCTTCCTTCTGAGAACTGCCGGGCCTGCAGATCAGTGAGGAGGCTGCAGCCAAGCCCCCAAGGCCCTGAGCTCTTCCCAGGGCCTCACAGCCTGCTGGCAGGTGCAGCTGCTGCTGAGTGCTGTGAGTGGCCAGGGGCGGGGAGGGGTGGGAAGGGGGGGGCGGTGGTGTGTGTGTGTGTGTGTGTGTGTGTGTGTGTGTGTGCGCGCGCGTGCTGACTCCAGGAGTCTGGAGCTCAGGAAACCTGGCTCCACCTCTCCTGGGCCCCAGGATACTAGAGAAGTGTTGAGGAGTGGGAAGCCGGCCTCTGTGAATTGCTGGGAATAATAACATGTTTCATTTGGGGGCATGGCCCATCTCCTATTGATCACCCAGCTGACCTGGGAGTCTGGCTGAAGTAGGACCAGCATAGGACAAAGCTGGGACAGAAAGACTTGGAGTTGCCAGCTAGAAGAGCCTCAGGGCCAGGAGGACAGGGTACTCACCTGGAAGGAGAGGTCCATGCTGCCACTTCCAATCTGGTTCACATTGGGCAGGGACCCGCCATAGTACTGGCCGCGGCTGGGGCCCAGCTGCAGGTATTGGGACTTCTGCAGTTGAAGCTGGAAAAGCAAAGCCACCAGCTGTCACCATGCAGGAGGAGACACATTCTTAGTGTCCCCAGAATGACTGAGTACCCAGTAACCAGTGGATTCAGGTAACAGGGTCCTGGGACCCTGTGACTAAGACTCTGTAAGAGGCAGCCCCCATTCACTCCAATGGCCTTCCTGGAGTGAAAGAGCACATCCCGAGGGAGCTCCAGACCATGAATTTGTGGAGCCGGCTGCCTGAAGCAGTCTGCTGAGACCTGTGGAGGCCTGGCAGAAATGTGCTGGCTACTGGGAAGCCTTCCAGTGGTGGGAAGCTGGTTGGTGACATTGTATGGGTCCAACTCCCACAGGGCCTGTGAGGCTGTCTGATGCTCCAGCCCCAGTCTGAGCACTTGAGGTCCTGCCTAAGACGCCCAGCTCCTTGGGAACCCAGGGAAGCAGGTGCAGCCACACATCTGAGTGGCACCCCCATTGGTCTCCAGCCCTGTTTAGGAGTCAGGAGCCAGCCTCTGTCAGTTGTAGGGAGACAATGGCAGATGCTTAGCTCGGGAGGCATGGCCCATGCCATAAGCAACCAGGGTCCTCAGTGCTCATGTCTGTATGAATACAGTGGTCAGGCACATGGGAAAGCACTATCTGCTCGTGCTGCCTGATGGTTGCTAGGGTCCAACACTGTGTACACAACAGGGGCTGGTTCTCAGTTCTCATGAATAGCTCCTGGCAGCCCAGCCTTCCCACCCCTCTTCCACGCCAGCCCTTGCTTCCTGGGGAGGCCTCGGACATTGGAGGGGGAAACAGAGCTCCAACTGGCTGCATGCCCAGCCGAGCGAGCACCTCGCCCAGGTAAACAGCTGTTTCCTGCGAGCTACAGTGGAGGCCAGAGGAAGATGAACGGGCCTGGCTCTTAGGAACCTCTGCCGGGTCTGAACTGGGAGGTGCCTGTGTTCTCAGTGGGTACCAGCTGGTCCCACCCACAGCTCCTCATTGAGCCCTCCAGGAGCTATGAAACGCTGAAAGGGGCTGGCGAGATGGTGCAGACAGAAAAGATGTTAACTACCAAGCTTGATGACCTGAGTTCAATCCTTGAGTTCCCAAGAGAACTGACTTCTGCAAGCTGTCCTCTGAGCTCCACACACCCTCTGTGTGGGATTCCACCCACATGTGTAAGCGCAATTAAAAATGCAAGACAAGCCAGAATTGTGAGACCATAAAGCGCCTATCGCCCACCTTGTCCAGGGCTTCGAGTCCCACAGGTGGGCCTGTGTTCCACCAGTTCTGTGCTGACAGAAATGGCAGTGCACACACAGTGTGTGTCTCCACAATGCTGCTCCATGCATGGACAGAGCCACAGGCTCTTGGAGACTGGGCACCAGGGCAGTACACAGCCACTGTGTTTACTGCTATGTCTGGGAACAACGGAAGCCTGGTGTTTGGGGGGCGAACCTCAAAACCAGCTCTGACCTCCTGGGGAGAGCTTCCAGGCCCACCCTGAACAAGCCTTGCCCTCCTGTGATGCCCCTGGGCCCACGGTACACCCTGACCTCTGAGGAAGCTAGGCACTGGACACTGAAGCCAGTCGCCCTGGAGGCCACTCAGTCCAAAAGATTGACCCCTACGATGCCCTGGCAGTATGGCTGTGCAGGCACACACTGGTGTGGGCAGGCTGGCCATGTGATACAGGGCTGGGACAACTGAAAGCCTCCTCCATGTCTCCTGGGCCACCCACCCTGCACCTGTTCTGTTTGAATTCTGTGTGTCAAGAGCTTTTAGAGAGTTCTGGGTCTTTCTTGAACACTGTCACTTAGGGTGATGAGACCCTGGCTTATAGCCCACAAGCCTCTCAGCTGCTGTTGTAGCCCCTTCCTGCTCCCAAGCTACACACCCTGTTCCCCCTGCACTGTGCTCCCTGAAGACACAGAAGACCTGTCTAAAGAGCCATGCCAACCTGGCATCTGCTGATGAGCCTCAAGCACAAAGCTGAGTGAGCATGGGAGTGCATGAATGAGTGAGGAATGAATGGTGCACACATGAACAAAGGGTGACTGGATGACTCCAAACGGGGAGCTGCACACACAGGCCAGGTCAGCCCGTATGTATCACACTGTATCTAAAGCAAAGTGGGTCATGACCGCCTTGGGGGTTGAATGACCATTTCACAGGGTCATGTATCAGACACCCTGCATATCAGATATTTATATCGTGACTCATAACAGTAGCAAAACTACAATTATGAAGTAGCAACAAAGTAATTTTATGGTTGAGGGTCACCAGAGCATGAAGAACTGATCATGGGTCTCAGTATTAGGAAGGCTGAGAACCACTGGCCCAGCTGGTCACCCTGAGGTAAGCAGGAACATGCAGGCAGGGTCCCTTGTGGGACCTCTGGGGAGGTGCAACAACTATTGTGCACAAGCCTCCTCTTTCCTACCCTCATAGCTACCAACAGGGGTCACACCAGAGCCTTCCTGCTCAGGTCCTGAAGGTCAGGCCCAGGGCCCAGGGCCCACGGCAGAGCCTTTGCTTTACTAACATCTGTCTCCAAGAGCCTGAGAGTCCTCCTAGAGTGAAGGTCAGCTGGCACCCACACGTTCGCTTCGGCCTGATACCTTCTACTTCCCCAGACTTCTTGAGGCTGAGACTGTGAGTGTGTGCCACCACAGAGAAAGAAGACAAAGCTGGGGGCTCCGAGTGCCACTCTCCTGCACAGCTGGGTGCCATCCAAACTGCACAAAAAAACTCAGCACTGGCCTGGCCACGTGCTTGGCTTGCAAGCCCTTGGCCCTTGGAAGACCCCCACCCCCTGGCCATGAGCTAGCCTGTACTCCTGGATCATGAGTCTGTGGCAGTGAGTCCCTGCTGCATTCAGAACCAGGAGAGGTGGGCAGAGCCTGCAAGCGTGCTCTCACTTCCTGCCTGCTGGCTGCGGCCTTGGATCTTTCTAGAATGCCAGCCCCTGTCCATGTTGACCCTTCAAAGCAGTGCCTGGCCACTGGAGTCAGGGTGGAGGTATCCTATGATAAGGGAACAGACTGGTCCCACATCACTGACAGGTAGAGGAGCACCCCATGTCACACTGCGGCCATGCTGGGCTACAGCATGGGGTCTGGAGGAGTGGCAGCAAGATGGCTCTGGGTGTTCCCTGAGCCCCTTCAACCTGGGGCAAACCCAGTTGAACATGCTAAGACTGGGTTAGGATCCTAGAGATGTCAAATGGCCACACACTGGGTGGCTGAAAGCCATGGGCATTCCTTGCCATCATTCCCCTCAAGGCTCCTCCTGCCTTGTCCATCTTGTACAAACTCTAGGCAGTCTGGGACTTGGGATCATGGCTCCACCATCTGAAGTCCCCATGCTAAGGCCTCTGCGTCTCCACCCCAGGCCATGCCCACCTCTCTGGTCTGCTCACAGAGCACAGCCTTCAGTATCAACAAGTCTCAGACAGAAACGTCATCGGCATCTGTACAAGAACACACAGAACCCCCTCCCTCAGTCTGACTCCCCCAGACTGTCACTGTGATGGGTCCCACAGCTCAACGGAGTCAGGTGTTCCAACTCCTGTGGAGAAGTTTCCAGAAGAATCAGAAGACTCCACAGTCCCTTCTATCAGAATGCCCTGGAGGTTTATGTCCACAGATCTCCTGGCAGCCTACTCCATAGATACCAAGGGACACTGAATCGAACCCTGGATTTGACTCTCACCTTAACCCAGGGCTCACCTTGAGACCCTTTTTAAAAACATATATTTCAGCACACACCTATAATCCCAGTACTCAAAAGTCATAGGCAGTCAGATCTCTTGAGTTTGAAGACAGTCTGAACTATTGAGTGAGTTCCAGGACAGCCAGCACTACACAGAGAAACCCTGTCTCAAAACCAAAACATGGGTTTTATTTTTAATTACATAAATGTATGTCTGTGTGTGGCTGTGTGCATGAATGCACATGTCTACCGATGCCAGAAGGGGGCGCTGGATCCCAGGGAGCCTGAAGAAACAAACCCAAGTTCTCTGCAAGACCAGTGCTCACACTCCTAACCCCTGCACCATCTCTCTTTCCAGCACTTTAGTTAAGGACTTTACCTCTGTATGAGGCTACAGCCCCTGGCTGCAGACACACTGCTGGGGAGACACAACCTCAGGACAGCACACTCTATTTCTAATAGACAAGTCAAGCCTAAGAGAGAGAAAGGGTCTGCCTAGCTAGAAGGTGGCCAAGTATGGCAGGTTGCTCTGTAGGCTGGGGCCTGGGACCCTCCAGGAACAAGAGGGACAGTCCTCCCACTGCAGATGGACAGCTTAATGGAGGCCCCGCTGGCCAGTCTCCTTGGGATGGGCTGGCTTGGGCATCAAAAAAGAGCCACCTCTGGCCTGTGTGGAGCCACTGTGGGTATCTCCTAGAGATGGGAAGGGCCCCAGCAGTTCCCAGGTTCCCTAGGAGACCTGTACAACCCCCACACCTACTAGTCCCTCTCAGCCTCACTGTTCAGATGGAGTGGCCTTAGGCAGGCCAGAACTGTCTGTAGTTACCATGGCAACAGGATGGCCTTCTAAAGAGATTAAGGGGAACAGGCCAGCTGACAGGGCTCTGTCCTGTGCAGGGACTATGGTGAAAGGAACATGGATGGGGAGAGGGAGAGGGATGCGTGTTCCCTGTGTGCCCCTTGCTGGTCTAACAGTCTGAGCTCCCCAACCTCATAGCCCCTCTACCAGGTAAACCAGCTGCAGCTACCCCAGAGCCTTTGCATGAACAGCAGCAAGGGGTCTGGCGGCTGCTTGGAACTCCATGGTATTCTCCTTAGTTTACCATCTGACACTCCTCGACTGAGGGCTGTCTCCTGTCATACTGCTGCCCCCACGGTGGCCAGGAAAGGAGCCTGGAAGAGAAGCAGGGATTGGATATGCAGGCAAGCAGCTAGGGAAAATGCTTGCAAGGGTGACTAGGCCCCAGGTAAGGACACAGCTTCTCCCGAGCCTGAACAAGGCAGCTGCCCCTCCACTCATGGCTCAAACGAAG